ATTTTCAACACGCAAAAAACGTAGTTGGGGATGGGCAGCCGTAAAGGGTTTTGCGGTTATAGCACCCCATATAATTACAGCAGGAGTAATGACTTATCAGCAATTTGAAATGAATCAGCTGCATGATGATCTTGTGAACAGTCAAAACAAACTCTTAAAAGCTACAGACATTGTCAATAAAATAACTAATGAAGCAACAGCAATGTCTAATGCAAAAATTAAAGAAGTCAAAATGATTCAGAACAAAATTGCCAACCAAAATCAAGTTCAGAGTGATGTTCAACAAATTTCAGAAATTATTGCTTTAGTAACATCAAAATATCTCGATCTTGCGAACATGCAACCATTGGATGAAGTTAGAAAGCTCTTAAAAAAGCATAAAGATATCGAGAATTTAGAAATACCGGAGTTGTCTGACCCAATGGATTTATTCAGCATATCTACTAAAGAAAAACTCTTGCAGCAAGGTGAAATTGTCATAAAATACAGCATTCCAATGGTCTCATCCACAAAATATAGAAAAATTGCAATAATTTCTATTCCATCTACAAACAGAGACATAGTAAAAATCAGCAAACACAGTGAATTATGTCATAAAATAATCATGGATGAGGAAAATTCAACATTTGGGATGATTAATGATCTGACACACTTTTATGAGGACATTTATGAAGACAACAGGTTGCAAAAAGTAACGGAATGCATAAAAAGTCTAATGAAGGAAAATGCCACAGCCTGTGACATAACAAAGGTGAAGGAACTTCAAGATGAAATTATCCAGCTGGGGGAAGAGATTCTCATTATAAATGAAAAAAACGACACCAGCATCACTTGTTTAAAGAATGATGGCAACAAAACAATGAATAATCAACAATTGTTCGCACACCTGATCAAATTACCAGCAGCATGTACGATCAAAACTCAGCGACACATGTTCTCACATCCACAAGAGGAATCAATTTCATTAGCATCAAATATCTCATTGGATCTTCGCAACATAAAAATTGAATACCCAAAAATCATACTAAAAAATAATCTCAGCATGATTGAAAAACAACATCATGACGTCACATCAGCATTAACACAACAATTAGAATCAGTTCTAAACAGCGATCAATTACAGGCATTCGGGAATAGCATTACAAAACAACCATGGTTTATGTATGCAATATGGGCTGCCCTAGTAATTACATTAATTATTACAGGGTTATGCTATAAAATATGCAAGCCGAAAGAAACAACAACAAGACCCGAATCATCCTTTATTAAATGGAGCGACCTGTGGGCAAGTAATCATTCAACTAGTATAAATAGCCCTAACTACAGCAATTAAGAATTAACTAAAACTTATAGTAATAGTGAAAGTGAAAAATTGATTGAACATTAAAGATTTATTCTAAAAAATATATAAGTGAAAATAAAAAATATCTATTTTTGAAATTAAAGACTTCATAGAAACACAAAAGATAAAAACAATAAAAAATAGTGATGGTGATGATAAAATGTGCCAAATGCAAAGGATGCAACAACCGCGCCGTCTTTCTGACCAATTGTGGTCATGCATTTCACCGTGCTTGCATTGACAATATGCAAGTTCGAGGTGCAAAAAAGGTGTGCTCAGTATGTGACAAAACTATATTGCTTACAAAACTACGTGTATTAGATATCAACATTGATATGCCGAACAATACACAGCAATTATTGGACACCATTAAATCGCTTCAAGAAGAAAAAAAAGCGGATGCAGCCACTATCGAGATCCTCCAAAAAACGAATCAACACAACGAGGAATTGATAAAAACGTTCAAAAACAATATGCGTGAACATATTGATACGGCAATAAACAACAAGCACATAGAGCGTATAGCTCTTCTCACAATGCTTTATGAGCACAAGAAAGTGGCATTGGAGCTAATCGGCAACATTTATCGCAAAGAAACTGGTCGAATGCTGCCATATCAACTACAACTACTTATGGAATCTGGCAAGCATTACGAAAAATGGAACTTGCATAACAACATAATATCAGAAATATTAAAGAAAGCAGGAGAGCAATTTTACGGTGGAAATGGAACGACAATGAACGCAGCAGCACTTCAACTACCAACATTGGAAGCTTTTATCCGCAACCCATCAGTGGCCTCATCAACTATCAGTCAAAGCACAACTGTAGTCTCATCCGAAGGAATAAAAGAAGAATAAAGCGCCCCCGGAAATTGTTTTAAGTTTATCTATACTTTATTATTTTTTTTACAAGTTTATGAGTCATGGACATACATGAATCATAGTTCACATGAGTCATGAGTCCATGAGTCATGATAACGTAAGATGACACCTTTGGGTGTCATCTTACAGTTATCAATTATAGATTCAGACTATAAATAGCATGTTAGATTTAAGAACAGTGCAGTTTAACTTTAACTTTTATACGATACAGTTATCAATTAACTTTTATAATAAACAGTTCAATAAAAATATTTAAATGTAAAAACCAAGTGATTTAAATACAAAAAACAATCAATATGCCAAAAAAACTATAAAAAAATGTTAGCAAATTCCATCAGCTGGACCGTCCAAAATAACTGGACACACAGTCTTAAATATACAACAATCAACTAAAGTTCTGGAACTCAGTATGCCAAAACGCGTTCAAATTACAAGCCCATCAATTAGTGATATCAGTGAAAATCAATTTGTATAAAAGCAAAGGGAAAAGAATAAAATAGTTCACACTTTTATTTAAACCAATAAAAGATAAGCAATACATTAGCAGATCTAAAGCTCTCTATTTTGCATAGATAAGCTTATAAAAATCATAAAAAAACATTTCAATAAAATATTTGACAAATCAATCAGATACGACAGACTCATCATTCAATAAATATTCACTAACATGGTAGCAGAGCGTAGTTTGAGAAGCTCAGTGATTAAAAATAATTAAAATTCATAAAAATAATATTGCAAAGTCAATCAAAGAAATACGACGGATTCATTAACTACATGGAAGTATCCAAAATCTGACGACCAAGGTTCAATTTCAATTCAATTTCAATTTCAATTTGATCATCAAGGTTATCAAGGAGATGGAAAGTAATAACACCAGCAATGATAACAAACCAAGTGTTAAAAATTATGCTAATATTTTTAAATTGATTCATTATAAAGTTGAAATTTGAACAAGACACATCTGAAACAATGGAATTTTCTTCGGCGATGATAATAGCAATCATTCTCAAGTAATGGAGAGCAACAAGATTGTTTTAGCGGTTTCAAGAAAACCGTAGCACAAGTGAGGAGAGAACAAGTTTAAATGTAAAAGAGAAAGTGCATGACAAATAATAAGAATGAAAGAAGCAGACGAAATAGAACAGCCGACCAATAAGGCGACAATTTTTTAAGAACTCCTTCTAAATTGTTTCAAGTTAAAGTCATAAGCAATAAACTAGGATCTTAGAAAAAGTTGCTATTATTGAACTAAATCTTGAAGATTGAAGTAATGAAAAAATAGTCGAGAATCGCATTGTCGACAAATGAAATGTTTGAAAAATCATGTAAAACTTTAAAAAATATTCAAAAGCTTTCTATTTTAAAGAACTCAACCAAATCTACTAAAAAGAGGTTTTAAAAATTGATTTCTAGCTTCAAATCTAAGATAAATCTGTTTTTTACCAATTTTCGGTCATGTCCTGATCGCAGCTCTGAAAAAGCCGGACAGATCAAATTATTAAGGAGTTTCTAAGAAAAATATTTTCAAGGATTTTCCAAGAAAAATAATTTCAAGAAATTGGACTGTTTGATGAAAAATGTTGATTTGTATCTTTTTATAAAAAATTCAAATTAATAAAATTTGAACTAATAAAAAATAAAAATAGTGAAATCTTAATTTCATGTCGGTCGAGACATTTAACTTAGAAAATATTGTCAATTTTTAAAAATGTCCTTGTTTAACATATTAATTTTCTAATTCAATTATTTTTGCATTTTAATTATTAAAAGTTACGAATAAAATTGAAAATTATTTGAACAATGAAAAATAATTTTAAAGAAATATATAAAAGTAATTTTTTAAAAAATTATTAAAAAACATTTAAAAACTACTTAATAATTATTTTAAAGTTATTTTTAAAAATAGGAGAAATATAATTTTTTTTTTCAAATTAATTGTTTGCATATTTTAAAAAAGTTTAAAAAGTTAATGTTTAATCTAAACCACGCCCGTTATAAGATTAAATCAAAATTACGTTGTTTTTGTTTTTGTGAAATTCAAAATTCTTAATTTTTTGCTTAAAACCAAGGGTGTGGTACTGAAGAAATGATCAAAAATGATCAAAAAAATTATCAAAATTATCAAATTTGATCAAAAATGATCCAAAATGATCAAATAAATTATTAAAATTGATCAAAAATGATCAAAAATGACCAAAAAGTTATCAAAAATGATCAAAATTGATCAAAAAACAATCAAAAAATTTTCAAAATTGATCAAAAATGATCAAAAATGATCAAATAAATTATTAAAATTGATCAAAAATGATCAAAAATGACCAAAAAGTTATCAAAAATGATCAAAATTGATCAAAAGTTATCAAAAATGATCAAAAATGACCAAAAAGTTATCAAAAATGATCAAAATTGATCAAAAAACGATCAAAATTGATCAAAAATGATCAAAGAAGATCAAAATTATCAAAAATGTTCAAAATGTAATTTTTCAGTTCCACACCATTGATTAAAACTTTATTTTTTCCCGTCATACTTGACGGGAGACCAAACTAGTTTATTTTAAAATTCTTGCGTTTTTCATTGGGAATCCTCAAAAATTTTGATTTTGATTTTTTTAAACTTTCGTTGATATCCAAAAAAACTGCAGTTTTTTTTAAATTTAATTTTTTTGATATTTTTTAAATAAATATAAAATAATTCAAATTTTTGTTGTTGCCAATTTTATGGTTTAATGCATGATGTTGTTTAATATTTTAATAATTTTAGTTGTACATACATTATCGATGTCTTAGATCAATCATCTTTATTTCTGTTGCTGCTTTAAGAGTTCCTATGTTGAGGAATTCTGTTGATATTTTGATGAATGTCGAAAATCGATGAAATCTGAAAAAAAAACATAATTTACAACATTAGAAAATAAGTATCTAAGTTATTTGAGAAGTTCAATAAATAAAATAAAGAGTAACTTACAGTTCGAAAACATGTGGAAAATCCATGATCAAGTAGGAAATTAATTCACTCACTACGGCACAAAAGCGCTTTACATCCACAAATCTCAGACAAACAAAAACCTGAAAAAATTGAAATATTATGATTGTTCATAAAAGATGGGAGTAGGGGGGGGGGGGGGGGGGAAGAGGTGGCAGGGGACGGCTTTTATCCCAAAAAAAAACCAAGCTCCCCTTAATTTAGAGGTGAGAAAATCGAAAAACAATAAATGAATTTCAAAAAAAATATTAAAATGAGTTTGAAAAAAAATTAAAATAATCTTAAAAAAATAATTCCAAAATTGCTCACCAATTTTATTACAGTTCCATGATTTATGCTTGAGCTGTTCTTGAATATTAACTGACGTTATGTTGAACACATGAGTTGACCGAGCATAAATTATCCCCATCATAAACAGTTCCTTAAATTACATCCTTAAAAAAAATATCGTATCAGCATAAAAATCTAAAAAGACGCACTTTTTGTTTATTTTAGACATTCTCATATCTTTCTCGAGTTTTAGTTTTGTTTAAGAAATTGGAGATGTCGTAAAATTAAATTTTTATTTGAAGCCATTTCTGATAAAATGTTGATGAGTTAAAGATAACTTTTTAAGAATTTTGTATGACTCATTAAACATAAATGAGTTTCTGATTTTGATCGAAGCAGGGGGGGGGGGGGAATTCTTGAGGACCCAGGCCCCCTCAAAATCTCAAATTTCTTTTTAAAAAAAAATTATTTATATTTTGTTTTAAAATAAAAAGAATTTTTAGTCCAAAACAAATTTAAACTTTTTCCCCCTCGCCCCCCCCCCCCCAACTCCGCTTCCTCTTGGCAATTTCTTGATGCGCTTAGTCTGATTATTGCAACTTTCCCATTAATTTGTGAAAAATATTCTTTCAAAATCTTGAAAAATGGTTTCGAAATTGTTATAAAAATTTCAATCAAAACTATTCCCCATTACGATGTTATCCCTTATATTAATTTTATTAGAATTTTCAGATGTTTTTTTGGAAAAAAATTGAATTTGAAACGCAGTCACTAAATTCAGAAAGTTACGAGCATTAATTGTTCTTTTAGGCACTTTGTGGCAAATAAATGAAATTGATAAATCACAAATTAGCAGCACCAAGCTGCAGCAAAGCGGAAATTCATCTCACTTTACCCTTTACCAGCCTCACGCCGTTCTGGTTCATCCATTTTGTAATTTTTCAACACATTGTGCCATTCAAAATAGTTAAAAAGTGTATATTAATAGCTTCCCTACTAAAATCTTGATTTTATAGCCCACAAAATAATTAATTCAACTTCAAAACTTTAAATTGAAATGAAAAAAAAATAATTAAAAACTCACATTTTTTAAAATAATTCAGAAAATTTGAATTTTCATCAAAATTGTCACAAAATTAATTTCACATTTTAATAAGTTACAACTTGATCTTTTGAGCACTGGAACGACAATGATTCGATCGCACAAAAATAATCTCTCAACCTCATTCGCCGGACGGCAATACATGCACATTTTTTTACTTCGTGCATTCTCAATTATTATGCATGCACAGATGAGCTTTAAGAGAGTAAGTTTTGTTGTGACTCGTGCAATTTGACAGCAAATACTTTTGTTTGTGGTGATGAGTCAATAGACAGCACAGCTTTTAAATTCCTGGCTACACCTCTACAGTGATGGACAACCATTGTGCCGCAGCAACAACATGACTCTCTTAAATTCTGGAATTCTACACATCTCCTTGTTCTTTGTCTGTAGTTCAGTTCTATACTAATGATGCAGGTGTGTAGCCAAAGTTGGGGGGGGGGCGGTGGGAGGGAGAATTGAGGATCAAAACCTCCAATGTCATCAAAAATGCAAACCCTTCATTTTCTAGGGTTTTTATGAAAAAAATCCTAAACCCCCCCCCCTCAAAGTCTAGGCTGCGCTCCTGCAGTGATGGTCAACCCTTGTGCCACGGTAAAAGAAAAACATTCCGAAATCCCACAAACCGTATGCTATGTACGATTTTGTGTATGACTCGCCACTAAGGAGAGCCGTGGCTCAAAAAAGGTTGACCATCACTGTTCTGTACATTCCAAGCATAAAGCCTGTTGTGACTCGAACATTTCACTGAAAATGTTCACAATTTAGTAATAAAAAATTCAATTAAGTTTTAGACATTGGATTTATTGAAAAGTTCCAGCACACAATTATTCCTAGCTAGTCTACTCAAATCTTATCTTGATCTAAGTTGTCTTTGGTCTTCTGCTGACTTCACTTCCTCTACAAATCTTCTTTTTTCTTCTCAATTTTCACCAATTCAACTTCAAAAATTAGAACTGAATTTTTCGGAATCTTTCCCATCGCTGCATTTCCATAGCCAAGTTCTGGAGGAATCTGAAGTTTACGGATCTCACCGACGCACATTCCGAGAAGTCCTCTTTCCCATCCTGGAGGATTTAAATTATTAGTTTTCATTCACAATTCAAGAGTTTCTCATTGAACTCACCAACAATCACTTGACCACTTCCGAGTGAAAAAGTCAACGGGTTTCTGCCTTCACTGCTGTCAAAAACAGTTCCATCTGTCAAAGATCCTGTGTAATTGACATGCAGTAAGTCACCTTTTCTGCTTTTTTGTTCGCAGTTCTCGACCTAAAATGTTTTGTTTATTTTTTAGCATTTTTGAGATAATTTTAATTTTTTACCCTCTTTTTGATGCCAATCTTGAGCTTCCCGTCAGGCTTCTCATTGCAGTCGATCAACTGGAATGCTGTAAGCATCAAAAACACTGAGATTGATGAATAGAATTTCATTATTGAGTTTAATTTTGTTGTAACCGGTAAAGTAAACAGCTGTGATGTTTTTGTTTTGAATCAGGGGGATAACACGTCAATGGAAAAGAATAATTGAATTCAGGATTGAGTTTAAAACTTCAAAACTCGTTAAGAAAATATTGATCTTATGATTATGTGCCTTAAATTTTGTAAAGAGCAGTGATGGCCAACCTATGTGTCACGACACACTAGAAAATTCCACGAACCATGAAACGAACGGTTTCAGTCATGGCTTGCCAACAAAGTATCACAGTGATGGTCAACCTATGTGCCGCGGCACACCAGTGTGTCGCTGAAACAGGAAATCCCACGACCCGTATTCCATGTGCGATTTCAGACTTGACTTAACACCAAGGTATTACAGTAATGGTCAACCTATGTGCAGTGGCACACCAGTGTGTGTGTGTGTATGTGTGTCTCTGTGCGTGTGTGTCTCTGTGCGTGTGTGTGTGTATGTGTGTCCCTGTGCGTGTGTGTGTGTAGATGAAAAAACGGGATATCCCACGAACCATATTCGGTGTGCGATTTTGGTCTTGACTTACCACCGAGGTACAAAAAAGGTTGGACACCACTGGTACAGAGTAGTTCAAACAGTTTGTTTTATTTTGTCGTTTAAGCTACTGCTGAACTTCCACGCGTGAACATTAAAATGAATTGTAAAAAATCCAGCCTTTTTGTCTTTTGGACATTCTTCTTGTTCCTGACAATCAATTTAGGTTACGGATCTGGATTCAAATGTCGATTCAATCTTCCCTGGCTATGCACAATCACACCAGACTCAAACATAACATCAGAAATTCATTATCTTGGAAAGACGGACGTCGATATTGAGGAAGTCCAGTTCAATGGAACTGAAAATGGAATTTTCAAGGCACTCAAAATGCTTGTGGTTTTAGATCTTAGCTGGAACAAGATTCAATCTTTTTCTCAAAAATCCAAACCTAAAGAATAAAAAGAATTAATGATTTTTAATTTTTTTTTATTTCAATCCAACTAAAGCTCAATCTAAACTTCTTTACTGAAAATCTGATAAGAAGGCTCATCGTCCGGACTCGTTTCATCGACAGTATATCCAAGTCTTTTATAGAATCTCAATGCACCATCATTATTAGTCAAGACAGTCAGGACTATTCGTTCCATTTGCCACACCTTTGCCAGTTTCTCTAAGCATTTCATAAAGTGCTCGCCAAGTCCTTTATTTTGGTACTTTTCATCAATTTGAAGCTCGTAACTGGAAGTAAAAAAAAGAAAAACTATTTTAATTTTTTTTGGATTTATGGTTCTACTGAGTGCTGCCTGGCTATGCATCAGTGTTTCTGACTTTTTGTTTACTTAAATGATTACTCGTATGTCTGTCTGGCTGGATCAGACTGTCTAAAAGTTCACTATTTCGTCTGTACGTCTTCCTATCATTGGGCTGAGCCAACCCTAATAGCACAAGTCGGTTAATCGAATAGAAATCCAGCATCAAGCTAGCGTAACTCTGGCATGTTACGGACTCAAATCGAATCTAGCAAGAGCACGGCCTAAAACGCTTAAGAAGGGGACAAGACCCTCCTGGCTACGCGCCTGAGCACCATGCCAGAGTCTTGCCAGCTTTTTACCGAATTTCTAATCGATAAACCGACTTGTGCTCTCTTAGCAAGTGGGTTACAACCCAGCCAATAGGAAAACCTGACCACATCTTGAACCAATCAGTCTTTGTGCCTTTAAAACTCACCAGTAAATAACAGATCGTCCATAATCCATATCAAATCTAAACATTGTGTATCCAGCATTCTCCTGTCCACACTTTGCTATCAGAAACTTAGCCCAGGGCCTTTTCATGTCATTTTGTTTGAACTTTGGCTGCCATCCGAGGCTGCAGGCTTTGTAATGTGGTCCGACGTTCTTTTCAGCTAGCTTGAAGCACCTGGAAGAGGGACGAATAAGTTGAATAGGAATTATTGAGTAAGTGTGAGTTTTTGTACCATTTTTGGAGATCCTTGGTCAGTTCCTTGCTGCCTTTGTATGAGATATCGATGGTCAAGTCATCTTTGCTGTATTTTCCATACTCTTCAGCTATTGTGAATGGATTCTTTTGTTGATTTACTTTTTCAATGTTTTTGTGTTGAATTCCAGCAATTTCTCTGTCTGTTGCCATTTTAAGCTTGTTGCTTTTTGCGGAATTGATGATTTTAGTTCAATAAATATTAAAACTTTTGAATTATTCAATTTAAATTGAAATTATTCTCTGAATGTGGTCTAGTCTGCTCAAAATTTGTTTACTATCTGTTTTGGCGGGAGTCAAGTTCGGAATGTCTTATTCAAAAAGTTTCAGACACGATTGTTTGTTTACTTTTAGAACTGAAAACTTTTTCAAAGAATTTGAATTTTAAAAAACCGTTAAAACAATTTGAAATGACTTTAGCTTGAAGAGCTTTGATAAAATGTTCGAAAATTCGAAATCACCTGTTGCTGCTGAGTACTAAATGCCGATTGTTGGACAACGATAACAACAAGTTGTTCAAAGTTCGTTTACTTAGCAAATTAAAATATAAATTTGATTTTTCAAGCTGATTTTGTGGTTTAAGATTGGAAAAAAGCTAAGATTTTTATTGAATTAAATACTTAAGCTGTAGTTCCACTCCAAAGCAGTTTAGTTCTCCAATTCCAGTCCAACTCAACACCATTAAGGCCACAACATCATGAAATTCTACTACAATCCACTGTCACAACCATCAAGAGCTCTTTACATCTTCTTAAAAATGAACAACATTCCAGCCGAATTCATCACAGTTGGTCTACAAACTGGTGAGCATTTGTCAGACGAGTTCAAGGAAATCAACAGATTCCAAAAAGTTCCATGTATTGTTGATGATGACGGTTGGAAGTTGGCTGAGAGTGTTGCTATATTTAGGTGAGAATTGGAGTTTAAATGAGGAACTTTGGAAGGTTTCTTGGGGTATTGTGGGGGAGGGGGGCAAATCCCCCTTCGTCTTGAGAAATGTCTTCATTTTGTTAGAGTTTTTATGAAAAACTCGAAAAATTGCCCCTTCCCCCCAAAAAGTCTTCCATTCAAAAAAAAAAAACAATTTGCTCCCCCTCAAATTCTTAGCTATGCCCCTGGGGTGGGGTCGAGTTCATTTTAAATGAGTTAAATTCTAAAATTTAAGTGGCTGTAGCTAGTTCTGAGATTAAAACCATTTATCAAAATTTTCTCCCAGTTTAACAAATTAATGGCACCAAGAAGATCGTTCATTAATGACGTCCAAAATTGACTGTCATTTTTCAAATTTCAAAATAGAACAATGGATTTCCAGGAATTTCTATTTTTTTTCTTTGCTGACCCCCCCCTCCCATCCCCCCCCCCTCCCCCCCCCCCCCCCCCCCCCCCCCCCCCCTACCTGAACGTCATAAATAAACGGCCCCTTAGGCTGTCCCTGGTTTTAACCAATACTAATTTGTGATGCATCTTTAATAATCGAGCCCATTACGTCAATTTTAACCCCCCCCCCCCCACCTCCTTTATGTGTCTTTATCCCCCTTTACTCACAAATTTCTAAAATTCCACACCAAATCAAAAATAACCTCAAAATCTACAACATTCTAGATACCTAATGACTCAATACCCCCAAATATCAACCAACTGGTACCCATCAGACCCCCGAACTCGAGCATCAATCGATGAATACTTAGAATGGCAACACAACAACACCAGACTTGGCTGTGCTATTTACTTCCAAATTATGAAAAAGATCGGACCATTTGCCAATCAGCCTGACGAGAGCTTCCTGCACATTTTTAAATTCTTGATGGAATCGACGCTTGAAACTTTTGAGAATGTTTGGCTGAAAGAAAAGAAATTTTTGGCAACTGACGATGAAATTTCGTTTGCTGATATTTTGGCGGCTTGTGAGATTGAACAGCCTAGGATGACTGGATATGATGTCTTTGAAGGTAGACCAAAGTTGAAGGAATGGTATGAGAGAGTTAAGGATGCAACGAAGGGTTACTATGATGAGGCTCATGCTATTGTTAATAGAATTATTGCTAAAAGTCAGAAGGCTAAGTTGTGAAAGGGGTCGAACTTAAATTTTGTGTATTTTTTTAAAATAAAAAAATGTGGTTTTTTGGATAATTGAATTTTTTTGGTATTTTTGGTAAAGGGCTGTTCATAAATGACGTCTATATGATTTTTTGATACCGCTTTTCACATAGTGTGTATGAAAAATAATTAGTTTTTAAGAACTCTCAAATTTTAGAACACCCCCCTCCCTCCGGTCATTGAAACCCCCCGACCCCCCCAATCTTAATGTTAGACTTAATTTATGAACATCCCCATTTAGTAACGGAGCTACAGCAACTGACTCGAGTTAAAGAATAAAAAACAGTTATTTTAGGTTAAAATTGGTTGTTCTTTAGTAACAGTGCTTCTCAACCTTTGCACCAAGAAACCGCAAGTGTCAATAAGATACAAACAATCAGTTTGTCAGGAAACTAGATGACCTACTCAAAGAAGTAGGCAGTTCTGGGTCTCAAACTTTACCTTTTAGCCAGGCACGTAGACATCCCCCAACGTAAACTGAATTTCTTTTTTTTATTTTGCTAGGGTTTTTATGAAAAAAACACACTCTAAATTCCTGGCTACGCCCCTGCTTTTAGCCAATGATGAGTGTCTTGGTCCAAACAGGTTGAGCACCACTGCACTAAGAATTCAAAGAATTACAAAATTGCAGCAAAAAGTCCAAAAACCAAAACAACAATTGAAATTTGGACGTTGATTCCACTTCCAGGGGTTGTGGATGTTTCTTGTGTCACAGTAGTCGTTGTTGGAGGTTCAGGTGTTGTTAATTCTGGTTCATTTGTTGTTTCAGCGTCTTCAGTTGTTGTTGTAGCTTCCATTACATTCCAATTATCAAAACACACCTCAAAGTCCACCAAAATATCCTCAATCTTCTCGATTCCTCTAAAATTCTTATTCACACATCCATTCCCGTCAGCATAAAGCTCCTTTAAATTTGGAAAATTGTCAAAGAAGTTCCTTTCGACAGCCATCAATCCATTGTCATTAATGAACATCTTCTCAAGATAATTCATGGCTGTGAATGAGTTTGAGTTTAATTTTGTGATGTTGTTGCCGCTAAGTTCAAACCACGTGTAGTCATAGTTGCCAAGATTTGTTAAGGAACTGAAAATGCCTTCTGGCAAGTTTGTCAATTTGTTATTCTGAAGCTCAAGTTGGACTAAATTTGTTAAATTTTTGAAAATATTTTCATGAAGATTTGGCAAGTTTGCGGAATAAATTGCTAAGTATTGTAAGTTCTGGTTATTTTCGAAAGTTTTGTCACCCAAGTGAGTCAGTGGATTCTCAGATATATAAAGGATCTCCAACAATGTCAAACTTCTAAATGGATTTGAGTCAATTGTCACCAACTCATTGCCTTCAAGGAACAAATCCTGCAAATTCTCATTCATTATAAATAAATCAGCTGGAATTGATGTAAGTTGATTCCTGGCCAGGCTTAAAATTTCCAATTTTTTGAGGTTAGAAAATGAATTTTCTTCAATTTCGGATATTTCATTGAGCTGAAGGTACAGGTTCTTAACATCTGTGAACTGATGCATGTAAAAAGCTTGAATCTTCGTGAATTTATTAGCACTTAACGTCAAGTCACGGATCTTCGGACCTCCAAGGTTCTCAGGCAGTTCAGTAAGCCGGTTTGCATAAAAATCAAGAACTTCAAGCTTGTCAAGTCCATCAAAAGTCAGTGAATCAACTCTAGTCAACCAGCAAGACCCCAAAAGTAATCGGTAAACATTTGTCATGTCCCTAAACACAGCCGGACTTAAATAATCCACAGGGCTGTTGTTCATGTACAAACTGACAAGCTTAGTCAGCCCAACAAAGGCATCAGGATGCACAAATTCAATTTTATTGCTCCGAATGTCAATCATAGTCACATCTGGGCTGTTGATGAGGAAATGTGCAGGCACAGAAGTGTATCGATTATCGTAAAAATTCAAACTTGTCAATTTTGGCATCGACGCGAATGTTTCAGCTGGAACGTCCGTAATTAGGTTGTGTTCGAGGTTGATTGACGTTAAATTTGGAAATTTTTTGAATAAATCTTGGTCGATGACTGTAAAGCTGTTCATTCTAAGGCTGAATGATCTTATTGTTCCAAAAATTGTGACTTTATCATGCTTAACATCCCCATCGTTTAGTAAATTATCAGCTAAATTCAATGTCACAAGGTTCATCAGCTTCCCAATCCCATTTAGATCCACAAACTCAAGTTGATTAAGGTTCAGCTGCAAATTCGTCAAGTTTGGAACTAAATCGAATAGATTTTCTTCAATTGTTGTTATGTTGGACCTCCGGATCGTCAAGGTTTGAAGGTTTTCCAGTCCTGCGAATGATTTTGAGGTTAAAGTCTTAATTGGGTTCCGAAAAATCGTCAAACTTGTGATTTTTGTGCAATTTTGAAAGACATTTTCTGGAATTTCTGTGATTGGATTGCCTTGAATTGTCAGTGCTGTGAGTTGTGTGCAAAATTCTAAAGAGTTTTGAAGGATTTCCTCAAGTTTACTGTCCGAAATCGTCAATCGTTGGAGATTTTGGAATTTTTCGCAAATTTCTGGCTTGAAAATCTTGAAAATCTCATTTGTGATTGTTAAAATTGTGACATTTAAGTCGGTAAAGCTAATATTGTGGGAAGTGTTGATTGTTAAGTCATCTTCAAGCTGATTGATGTTTAGATTGACTAATTGACATGAGTAGTCACTTCCAGTTTCTGTGCAGATTGTGTCTGCTGCTTTAGAAGTTGAGAATGCAGTGAGGATGACTAAGATTGAGGTTAAGGTGACTTTTGGGTACCTAAAATTAGAAGTGATGGATATAAATTATTGAATTATTAAAGGCAATCAACAAGTGCAATAGATTCTTTACAAATTGAATAGCAGTGCCTCTAGCTGAAAGCCTGGGCCCTTCACACATTATTAGTATATAAAGGCAATCAACCAAGGCATTGAGAAATGAACCAGCATGAATAGAGATATTTTGGGAGCGAACCTTCCTTTACCCTCAAAATTATAATCCTTTACACTATCCAAGCTCAATGGATTCAGAACTGATCAACTGACTTTTGTCAGTAAAAACCAAAAGCACTTACTTCATGTCTTGAGAGCTTTGCTTAATGCTCAACAGCCTGAAATAAACTGAATTATCTTTCAGATTAGCCAGTAGCTCAATTGAGGGCTTATCTAAAGATTATAAAAATTTATGGCAACTAGAAAAGCAATCTTATCGCTGTGATTACTTGCTCATTAAGATTTAGATTAAAATTGAATCAAAAACTTAATCATGTCATTAATTAAATCAACAAATTAATCACAATTGTAGCTAGGACAGCTGTCAATGCAGATATTTTTAACAATTTTTTATCTTTTGACTTTCAAGGTCAGCGATAAAAGTTGTAAGTTGGTAGAATTCCAAGAAAATGTGAGTAAAAATAACTTAATTTTGTTATCTTTGCAGAACAAATCGTGATGAAAATGTCCAAAAATAAGGTGAGTGTGCGTGAATAATGCTTAATAAGTTTAAAATTCTGATGATTGGTTCGACCCAGGGGCGTAGCCAAGAATTTAAAGAGGGGGGCATTTTTTTCGGATGGAAAACTTTTAGGGGGGGGATTTTAGATAAAATCATAAAAATTCCCCCCTTCCTTTTGTTTTTTGCCCCCCCCCCCCCTCTTCAAATTCTTGGCTTCGCCCCTATCGGGATAGCTTCGCATTGACTTAAGGCATTTGAAGTTAAGCAATACTGCAGTGATGGCTAACCCGTGTCCCACGGCACACTATTGTGACCTCATGCTGTTTGCGATTTTGGTCTTAGCTTACCACTAAGTGCAGCAGCACAAAAAATGTTGGACACCACTGCATAGCCATCCTATGACTGCCAAAAAACTGATGTTAAGCTCAAAATTAATATTCTAGCTTGAGGCCGGATTTGAACTTAAATCCAACACCAACCTGGCACACACCAGCTCTATTCCACAACATCTTTTGTGCCATTAGGGCAAATGACATCATGTGCCATACATAACGAGCCCCCATCCCCCTAGTACCTGTCTAACAGATAACACAAGTTGAAACTTTAAATTGTCAAACTTCAAATTTTAGAGAAAAGTACAAGACACATTTATCTAATTGCAATTTTTGTCATGTTCTTTTATTTCAATTCAGCATTGCTTTTATTTTTTGCTAATTAAAATTCTTTCACTCAAATTCACTATAAAAGGAGACACAAGACTAACAGTGCATTGAGTCTCAGAACTTTGTCGAGAACGAAATCATGAAGGGTGAGTAGTTTGTGATAATATTGCCACAAATCGAGGATATAAAACAGCATCAAATTCTGCAATCAGGTGTATTCATTGCCTTGGCACTCTTTGCCGTGTCAACTCACGCACAAACCGTTGACTGTCCAGACTGCGGACCACCAATTGTTCCACCAAATTGTGAACAACCAGAATGCTGGCATCCACAAAATCAACAGAATCATGCCTTATTCCCACATACTGATCCAAATTTCTACTGGCAATGCGCACCACAAGGTGTGCCAGCAGTTTGGGCTCCAATGGCTAGACCATGTGCATGTGGAACTCATTTCAATCCAAATGTTTTCCCACCAAGATGCACTTTCTGGTTCGAAAGAAGTTGGCAACCAATTTGTGGATGGACGAGACCACCACCAATGAGGTTTGTGTATGAATTTGTTAAGAAATGTTCAAAATTGATAACTTGTGTGATTTCAGACCATGCGAACCTTGGTGCCCAGATTGTGGAGACCAAGTTACAGGAGCACCACCACCTCCAATTACACCAACAACAACAGTGACAGTAACTCCACCAACACCAACTCCCCCTACCTGCAATTGTCCTTGCGTTCCTTGGTAAGTTTCAGTTGTTTTTTTGTGATTTTTTTCTTGTCTGTTTCCTGGAAAGTTGTTTGTGGGTTTGGCTGGGTCTGCAGGTTGATGTGAATGGTACACAACAAAGATTGTCACTTAATTGCACATACTGCTTCCTTTAAATGCAAAGAAATATTGATTATCATAAAGCCTACCTGTTTGGCAAATAGACAGTCAAATGGACGCAAGTTTGAGGATCTGATTCCTCTCAGTTGAACCATTTTGATCAAGTTTTTGATTTAAAAATTTAATTTTAATTTCTTTTATTTTTCTTTTTTTTTATTTCAATAATATTTCTAGCATCTGGTGAGTTTTGGCTAAAATTATTAATTGTTTAGTAATTAATAACCTTTATTTTTTTCTTTTTCAGGTGGCCATGTATCCCATGCAACCCATGCGCATGCTAATCCCTCAAAAAAATGAAGTCACATACAAATTTATGATTTTTAGAATAATTAAGCAAGCTATCAACAGGCGATTTTTAATAGATTTAAGGAAGGCAATAATTTTAATTTTAAATTATTTAATGTTTTATGAAATGTCACAAAATCCACACAGTTACAAATAAGTTGAAAATACAAGAAAAAGATTAAATTGGAAAAAAAATTGTGGCTTTTTATTTTGTTTCTAATTAGGGTTGGGCAGAATCGTATTCGAATATATTCGAATATAGTGTGCGCACATAAATGTGCGCATATATTCGAATATATATTCGAATATACATAATTCAAAAAATAACCGTTATTAATCGTGATTTTTTTTAATAAATGTTTAACAATTAATTAAATAACTTACAACTAAAATATAGACGTATTTGGCTAAAGAAAGTACTTCGATTGCTTTTCCATTAAAATTAGATCTATTTTAGTAATTGTTTAACATGATTTTTTCAATTGAAAAAATTTGATATCAAAGAATATTTGAAGTCGCCTTTTAAAAAATTTTAACGGACAATAAATATTTGAAAATTTTCCCGCTAAAAGTTGCACTACGAAAACATTAGTTATAGTATAATTACATAATTTATTCCAATGAATTTTCATATAGAAAAAGTTTTGCATTGAACGGTCTTTTGAGATTCAAATTTTCTAACAGTCAGTAAGTTTTTCAAAAAGCTTTTTGCCAAAGGATACACAAAAAATCATTAATTATAGCATATTTAACAATTTAATATCTTTAATTCTCATATATGAATTGTTTATCATTTACAAATTACAGGCAAGTTGAAAAATGCTAATCAACAAATAACGTATTTTTTCATTTTTGAATTTCTAATATTCGAATATATATTCGAATATTTGCCCAACCCTATTTCTAATTCCTAAGTAGCTTCTTCCTTATGTTTAGCGACTTTATAGCAGAGTTGTGACTGATCTGCCACAGATATTGTCTGTTAAAAGGCAGTGCATGTAACAGGAACAGATCTTTTATATCTTTGAGCAGATTTGACAAATCTGTGCCTGTGATAGATCGCAACTCTGCTTTAAAGATCCAAAATTAAAGACTTTGTCGAGCTTGACATTCTAGCCTGGAAGTAATTTGTCTGCTAGATGCAACGGCACAAACCTGAACAGCACATGCCAGTTAATCGAATAGAAATCCAGCACTAATCTGGAGAAGCTCTGACACAAAGCTGGATTTTAGTTCAAATCAAGCATCATTCCAGAGTCACACTGAATGGTGACGGATTCTTTTCGATTAACTGACTTTTGCTGTTCGTCAGCTTCAAGTGCGTATGGTCTTGTCCCCCTTTAAACATTTTGAACCACAGCGAGAGTTCGGCCTAAAACGCTTAAGAGGGGGACAATACCCTCCTGGCTACGAGCCTGGTCAGCTTCATAATCCCGTTCAAATCCATAAGCTCAAGTTGATTAAAGTTTAGCTGTAAATAATTCATATTTAATTCATTAATTGATGTCAAGTTGGACACGTACGTGAAGTGCTGTAAAGACATTTCATGGTTAATAGGACAAAGCAAGACATTCAGTGAGTTAAATTGCACAAGATCTTGTAGATTAGATCCGATTCTAACACAAACAATCACCAACATGATTGAGTTGATGCAGAAGCTTAGACTTAAGGATAAACTGACCATCTGCTTGGTTTTTCAGAGGACAGTCTTCAATGTTTTAAACATAAAATAGTTCGGTTTTGTTCTAATTCGTCCAGGAAACGAATAAAATTGGTAAACACGCGGGATGTCCTCTATTTTACTTTCAGGTCTGTCATATCTGGTTACCATACTTAAAGATCACCTCTTTTCACTGCTAGTAAGGCCGTTTGGTTCATTTTTACATTAATTATCGATAAGCTTATTACCTAAAAATATAATCAAGATTAAGCAGTCGAAAGTAGTCAGATTCCTATTTCAGCAATGTCAATCTTAAATACATTCATTAATTTTTTAAATTTTTATCTTGTTAACACTGAAAGTAAGTGATACAAGCTGTAATTTGATAGAATTCTAAGAAAATGTGAGCATAAATAACTTAATTTTGTTATCTTTGCAGAATACAACGTGTCCATATAAGTGGAGTGTGCTTGAATAAAACTTAATAATTTTATAATTCTGATGATTTGTTTAGCAAAGCTGTTGAACAGACAAATGACACCAATGTCATTCCTGACGAGCCCAATCCTCTAGTGACTGTCCAATTGATAACAAAAGTTGAAATTTTGTTTGTCAAAACATCAAACTTTAGAGAAAAGTACAAGACAAACTTATCAAATTGCAGTTTTTTTTTGTCAGGCACTGCTTGTTTTCAGCAAATAAACATCATTTCACACGAGCAGGCTATAAAAAGCAGACCACCAATAGATTGAGCCACAGAACTTTGTCGAGAACAGAATCATGAAGGGTGAGTTTTTAATGAAAATTGTGCCAAAAAAATTGAGGACATAAATCAGCATCAAATTCTGCAATCAGGTGCATTCATTGCCTTGGCACTCTTAGCCGTGTCAACTCACGCACAAACTGACTGTCCAGACTGCGGACCACCAGTCATTCCACCAAATTGTGCTCAACCAGACTGCAGCATCCCAGCAAATCAACAGAACCGTGCCTTATTCCCACATCCTGATCCAAATTTGTACTGGCAATGCACACCTGGAACTGTTATTGGAACATGGGCAGCAATGGCTAGACCTTGTGCATGTGGAACTCATTTCAATCCAAATGTATCACCTCCGAGGTGCACTTTCTGGTTTGAGAGAAGTTGGCAACCAATTTGTGGATGGGCGAGACCACCTTACATGAGGTTTTTGCTTGATTTTTTGTTCAAAATTGTTCTTAGTTTAATTCTTGAATAATTGTAGACCATGTGAGCCTTGGTGCCCAGAGTGTGGAGGAGATGGTGGACCTGACGTTACAGCACCAACACAATTTCCAATTACAACAACAGTTGCTCCACCAACACCACCTGCTTGCAATTGTCCGTGCGTTCCTTGGTAAGTTTAATTGAAGTTTTTTGATTTTGTGGTTGTTTTTCGACTTGTGGGCAGAGTTGGTATGCTTCTAATTTAGAGGCGGGCGACTTTTTTGGAATTTTTGAAGGTTTGCCAACTCTGCTTGTGCGATGTTGTGTCAAGGATTGTTGATGGATTGAAGCTTAGTCAAGAGAACTGATTTTAAGATAGCCATAGATCTTTGAATTTTATGATTTATAAAGCTAATGTGTGTTTATTAAGTGTGGGTTCAACACATATTCTGCTTATTCCTAGCTGCACAGTTTATGATGGAATTTAAAGCAGTCGAGTCATTTGATATTTGACTTGAGTGCACAAAAAGAGGCTGTAGACTTAATTTTCAATATAAATGACTTCTAGAATATCAGAATCTCATTAGTTGAAGTCATAAAGATAGATATGTAGCCAGAACGATATCCTTGCATACTGACAGACAGACAAACAAACAAAATAACTTAAAAACTAGATTTTAACATTTTTTTTATTTTTCTTCTTTTTATTTCAATAATATTTCTAGCATCTGGTGAGTTTTGACTAAAATTCTTCATTGTTTAGTAATTAATAACCTTTATTTTGTCCTAATTCAGGTGGCCATGTATCCCATGCAACCCATGCGCATGCTAATTCCACAACCTAATGAAGTCACAACTTTCGAAATTTAAAAAAAAGTAGGTTTAATAGAAATCAAGGTTTGCGGTCCTGATGAAATGATCAAAAATGACCAAAATGTAATTAATCAGTTCCACAACCTTGATAGAAATAAGGAAGGCAACAGTTTTTAATTTTAAATTATTTAATGTTATTTGAAATGTCACAAAATCCACACAGTTACAAATAAGTTGAAAATACAAGAAAAAGATTAAAATGGAAGAAAATTGTGACTTTTTTATTAAATTTGATGAATGTCCTGCCTAAAATCCTTGATGGGGGAACCTCAAATTCCAGTCTGGAGTACTTCTTCATAGCTGAAATCGGGACATAGACCAAAAAAAACCAATGGACTTTAGGCTAAACCACATCAAACTCAATCATTTCTTATCTTTTGCTCAACAATTTTCACCAACTTTTTCTCCAGAACCTCTTCAAACTTTTTAGCAAGTCGCTTCTCAATATCCTTAACTTTTTCATCTAAATTCATTGACATCTTGTGTCTCATACTTGCTAGTTCCTTTGCAATCTTCTCAGCAGTTCTATCCTCAAAATTCATCAAATGTTCCTCAATCCTAGCCTCAAATTTCTCCATTTTCTCATCCACAGCTGACCCAGCATCCTTAAAACTCAAGTCATTCAATGCAACTTTTGCGTCATTTTGTAAATTCTTAATTTTCACCAAAGTTTGTTTAAATTCGACTTGGTTCTTTTTAAGATCACTGACTGAAGCCACGATGTCACTGATTGAACTTTGTGTGGTGTCTTGTGATGATTTGAGGGAGTTGAGGATTAACTTGATGGATTCTTGGGTTGATTTGAGGTGTAGAATTGATGAATTTAAGTCAGTGATGCTGTTAGCAGTGCTGCTTTGCGATATGCTGAGTTGATCTAATGAGCTTTGGAGTTTATCAAGTTTGGAGTCACTTTTAGCGATTGAAGACTTAATTGCAGTGCTTTGCTCGATTTGTAAGCCTTTAATCTCTTCTAACTTATTTTTTGTAGCTTGCTGATCAGTTTTGAAGTCTTTCAATCCACATTGTGAATCTTCAAGGTTCTTCCTCAAGCCATAAACCCCCAAAACCTTCATCCTATCCCGCAAACTCTGAATCTTTTCGTCCAATTCAACAATTCTTCTTCCTTGATGACAAATCGAGCAGCCAGCGACCTTCTCAAATTTGTAGTTTAACGGACGAAATTTGTGGAATTTTGAAATTTTGAATTCTTGCTCAAATTCCTCAACATTTCTGTCAAAAGTCCCGATTTCCAAACTTCTTGTCTGATCCTCTAAGTTGAGGATTTTCTTCTCCATTGATGAAAAATCGGAACTTGTGCATTGATTTTTGACTAATTTAATGAGCAACTCAACTCGTTCTCTAGAATTGACGACATCTTGGTTGACGCATGGAGCATAAATAAGCCAAAGATTGTCCATTTTATTCAACCTATCAAACACGCCAGCATCAATGTGGATGATGTTGCTTTCATGAAGCCCAACAGCTACTAAATTTGGATTAAAGTCAAACAATCCTTCTTCAATGACTTCAATCGAATTTTTATACAGCCTGAAAAAGACCAGATTTGGGTACGGTTTGAGGTCTGCTTGATGAATTTCCAGCAGTTGGCAGCTTTGGATCCAAAACATTTTTATTTTTTCGGGCAAATTCTTTGGAAAATATTTAATTGTCTTATCAACAGCACGAAATCCAGTCATTTCATCTTCTGCTGCCAAAGTTCCATTTATTGAGTCAATCCATGCTGATTCCCGTGTCAAAATGTTGGGATTGTTATTGACGATGCACAAATGAATTGTTCCTACTTTGCCGTAAGCATCAGTAAGACTAAAGTCACATTCAATGTTTGTTGACGTTGATGAGTCATAAATTGCAGAGATAAGGAACGCGATGAAGCTAAAAATATAAAAAATTAATTAAATAAATGGGAGCAAGTGCTGATAATTGTAGACGGTTGGGGATTCAAGTGACTTTTATAACATTTAGACATTTGGGGAAGTCTTGTAAGATTGACTTGAAACCTGTGAAGTCAATGATCATGCTCAGATGGTCAGTTCTAGTCTGGACAATCTAGCATTTGGCTCATCACGTCATATCTTGTCGTCTGAGCAATTGTCGGAAGGTTGAAGATGAAAAAGTAAATTGGGCTGGATTGGTCACACGTTAAGGAAAGATCCTTTAATAAAAGCGCGACAAGCTGTATTCTGGAATTCGCCGGGGAGGCGAAAAACTGGTAGCATTAGATTCGAAAGTTTCGTAAATGTCCTGCACTTGACAGTGGAGTAAAAGGACATCATCAAAAATTTCTAGCCCACCGCTGGCAATGTCTTTGTTCGCTGAAGAGGTAAAGCCAAAAAATTTTTTGATGGAAGGTCCCAAAAGTCCAAGGAAGTCTGTTTTACATACCAAACCCTTTTGTCCATTTTTCAAAGCTATTTTCAATGCAATCGCTGTGAAATTCTAAGTGGAACTGCTTTACATTCAACTGTGAATCTGGTTTGATTAATCTGTGTTTGAGTTTGGTCACGTGGAAAGAGAATCTTTTCAATAAAGTCATTGGAAAATGTTGGAGAGAATAATTGTTTTGAGAATTAATGATGGAATCGGAATCTCCACATTGATTTTTCCTAGCCGGAGACATCAAACTCATTTTCAATTATAATTATTAATTCTAAATTTTGGAAACATTGCAATTCCAGCTTATCAGAAAAATAATTACCTAATTGATAACACAATTTTAATTTTTTATCAAATCAATTTTTTTCCAACTTATTTTCACTTTTGAAAATTGAAAAAAAATTTTTTTTTGGTATAAAAGGTAAGATTTCTGCAATATCAAGTCACATTTCTGTGTTGACTATAAACTAGAATAAACATGAAGGGTAAGTTCTGCTTATTAACTTAATTTTAACAATTATTTAATCACTTCCTCAAACCCCCTTTCTAGGTGCAATCATCATTTTATCACTCTTTGCAGTGTCTGCTCACGCACAAACCGATAACTGTCCAGACTGCGGACCACCAGTCATTCCACCAAATTGTGCTCAACCAGACTGCAGCATCCCAGCAAATCAACAGAACCGTGCCTTATTCCCACATCCTGATCCAAATTACTTCTGGCAATGTGCACCTGGAACTGTTGTTGGAACATGGGCAGCAATGGCTAGACCTTGTGCATGTGGAACTGTCTTCAATCCAAATGTATCACCTCCGAGGTGCACCTTCTGGTTTGAGAGAACTTGGCAACCAATTTGTGGATGGGCAAGACCACCAGTATTAAGGTTAATTGATGTTTTGAGTCTTGTGATTTAGTTGCTATACTCGATGTGCTCAATGGTGTGGTTTTGAGTCTGTACTGTCTAAACCAGTGTTGTACAAACTTTTTTAAGCCACGGCACACTTTAGGGGTAAGCCATGACCAAAGTCGCACACAGCATGGTGTTTGTTTTGTTTCCAAAAAAATCTACAGCACAAAAGGGTGCCAAGGCACACAGTTTGGACATCACTGGTCTTAAATGCAAGGATTATACATCTCGTGCATTCTACAGTAGCTTTAACGTGCAATAGCGAAGAATAAGAATCAAATTTTGGTATTTATTGCCTTATTCACCTTCCTGGAACTTATAAAATGATTTTATTGATCATTTTACACAATTTTTGCTTCCTATTTTCAGAGCATGTGACCCATGGTGTCCAGATTGTAATGGAGATGGCTCTGTACCCGGCCCAGTCACACCATCACCAGTTACACCATCACCAGTAACTCCATCACCAGTCACACCATCCCCACCAGGATGTAATTGTCCATGTGCTCCATGGTAAGTTTGAATTTGGTATAAGGGGGAAACAACATGATGGGGAAAAATTTGGGGGAATTTTTTTTAACTCATACTCACTTTCTAGTGACGGCTGTTAAAACATAGTGTAAATCAAGATTTTTGGCTTTAAAAAGTTTATTAAATGTGAGCTTTTTGAATTTTAAATTCAGATTTTTTTCCCCATCATGTTGTGTTCCCCGTCAATTTTAGAGAATTATTTAAATTATTTTTTTTTATTACAGCGTTTGGTGGCCATGTCTTCCATGCAATCCATGTGTTTGCTAGTCAATATCAAGTCAATAAAGCAGTTCTTATTCAACAGGCTAATTCTTAAGCAGCTTTAATGTTAAACAGGAATGTCACAATGAACTACAAATATAAATAAATAAATACACAAGAAATGATTTTTAGGGAAAAATATTTGGAATTTTTATTCAATTCAAAACTAGCAAAATGCGATAATTTTAGGTTGTTCATAAATGATGTAGACCAGTGATGACCAACCCGTGTGTCGCAGCACACTAATATGTTGCGAAAAAAGAATTAATCCCACGAACCGTATGCCGTGTGCGGTTTTGGATATGGTTTACCATCAAGGTGTGCTGTGGAGCAACGAAGGTTGGTCACCACTGATGTAGACATTTTCTGCTAAACTATTTACAAATGGAGTCAGGCATGACGTGATAAATCCAACCACGTGAACAGGAATTTCTTAATTTTCTATGGATTTTACGAAAAAATCCTAAACTTCCCCCCCCCCCCCCCTTCTCACATTCTTGGCAACTCCTCTGAATGAAGTGTTTTAACAACTCAAAACTGCTGAAAATTCAACATCTTAAAAATATTCTTTGTTCCTGGAATGTAAGATAAGAAATGTCGTTGCTATTTTTAGGTGAAATGGCAATCAAATTATAATTTTTATTTTATTTTCTTAAATTTGTAAATTCTGATAATAATTTCAATTAGTTTTTTTTTATTTACACGAATTTTTGTGATAATAATAAATTTTAAGTTAAGGGGCCGTTCACTTATTACGTAACGCTTCACGCGACTCTCTGGAATTTTGTGACAATTCAAATAAATTGAACCCCCCTTGTCATCTTCCCCCCATCCCACTGCCCCCTTCCCCCAACCCCTGCTGCCCCTTGCCCCACTCTCCTTGCCTTCTCCCCTACCGCCCCCCTTATCCATTGAAGCCGTTTTTGAGCTTTACGGAATATGTGAACAGCCCCAAAGGTTTTTGACACTTTTATTGAATTTATTGGGTTCACTACTCGGTGGGAGGTGACTTCTAAATCATGCAATTGTTAGGAAATGTTCAAAAAGGGTCTGAACCTAATCTTACCACACCAAACCCAAGCTCCATCCTCAATACAATTTTCTCTAACTTAACCTAAGCTCATCTTAATATCTAAATTAATAAATATCATAAATTCCAAATTAATCCACAAATATCACACATCTGTCTCCAATAATACTCGTCCATTCGCTTCAATTTGCCTCTTCATCACTTGATTCTCATATCCACGTATTTCAACTGGCACAATTGACACCCGCTCTCGATCATCTTCGCCCTTATCTTCACACTTCCGATACAGTGACTCAATAATTATTGTAAAATAAAATTGAATGATGAAGACAATTGGCGGTATGATAAGGACATCCCATGGGAATATAATTGTTCGGTTTCTGTACAATTGTCTGATGACGTAACCGATCTCGACAAGATTTACGACAAATGCAAAGACTGTTATCATGAGCATTATGTTGAGATAGTCGACGACTCCGTGCGGGTCCAACTGGAATGAGAAATTGATTTTTTTTTTTTGTTAATTTTTCAATGAAATTTTGGGTTTATTGAATGGGTTTTGGGTCATCTAATGTTATTTTTTGTCAATGACGAACTATATCAGTTGCTCCAGGATGCTGATATTATTACGGTTCTATGTGCAAATCGCTTGAGATGGACTGGACATGTCTTTAGACGTCTACAAGATGCCCAAGTACTTAGAGTGACTGTTGCAGACTTTGTAGATGGCAAGAGATCTAGAGGAAGACCAAAGAACACCTGGATTGGATGTGTTGATAAGGACGCTAGAGTCTTTAATATCCCTAACTGGCGAGAACTTGCTGAAGGTCTAGAAGGATAGAGCTGTCTTTAGACGATCTCTGAACGCGGCAATGAGACCACGTACACCCCCAGCCATGGAAGAAGAAGAATATTATTTTTTAATGGTTGGAGTATCAAACCCCTTTGAAATCGTGATTCAAACTCCAACCACTGACCTAAGGTACACCAATGACACTGAATCAACCCCAAGAACCCATTCCTTTGCCCCTAGACTGCATTTTTCAGTAACAATACGATATAATGAATCCTAATCTATTCCTGACTAAGGTTTGATACTTAAACAACTCATTGTCAATCATTTAACTCCAATTTACTGTTTTAAGGCAGTGATGCCCAACCTATGTACCGCGGCACACTAGTTTATCGCTAATAAATTAAACAAAGTTCATGAACCGTTTCTCGTATGTGGTTTTGGTCAAAGCTTACCGCTAAAGTGTGCCGTGACACAAAAAAGGTTGACCATCACTGCTTCAAGGTCTTCCCAACCCTCACCCGAATCAACAAAAAATCATGAAATCTTGGTCATGGTTACTGTGTCAAAGGAACTCCAGCTTTTAAGCAATCAGCTTCATGAATGAGCGTCAAGAAGTAAAAGTTTATCAATTCCTTATCTTCATGTAACAATTCTGACAGCACAGTGCAAAAATATTCGCGTGCGTAACTGAAATAATTTACTAATTGATAGAACGTAAATCAATTATTTTAGATTGTAAATTTTAGAAGTAAAAGACAAGACACATTTATCTAATCACTAAAAATTATTGTGTAGTTGCTTGTCTCCTTTCCGTTTTGGGAAAGTATCGTTTTGGGTATAAAAGCCAGCACAATTTTGGTAAAGCATTGAGTTCGCATTTATATTATTTTTTGTAAACATATATCGACAATTATCATGAAAGGTGAGTATTTGGCATCAAAAATTGCAACTTTTCTGGATATAAAGCATCAATTCTTTAAAATCAGGTGCAATCATTGCCTTGGCATTATTTGCCGTATCAGTTTACGCACAAAGTGACTGTCCAAATTGTGGACCACCAGTCATTCCACCAAATTGTGAAGTTCCAGACTGTAGCATCCCAGCAAATCATCAAAATATCGCCTTATTCCCACATCCCGATCCAAATTACTACTGGCAATGCGCACCTGGAACTGTTGTTGGAACATGGGCAGCAATGGCCAGACCATGTGCTTGTGGAACTGTCTTTAATCCAAATGTATCACCACCAAGATGTACCTTCTGGTTCGAGAGCACATGGCAACCAATCTGCAACTGGGTTAGACCACCAGTTTTGAGGTTAGTTTGAAATTTGTTGGCATTTTAGGAACGTCTTAATTATTCATTTTTATAATTTTATCAGAACTTGCGACCCATGGTGTCCAGATTGTAATGGAGATGGCTCTGCACCCGGCCCAGTCACACCATCACCAGTCACCCCATCACCAGTAACTCCATCACCAGTCACACCATCCCCACCAGGATGTAACTGCCCATGTGTTCCATGCATCTGGTAAGTGTTAAATGATTTTTGGCTTTGGGGTCGTTCACTTATGACGTCCATCAAAAAACCTGATTTTTAGACCCCCCTCCCCCTCTGTCACAAAAATTCTAAAGAAAAAAATTTATATTGTTTGAACTGTCACAAAATCTTAGACCCCCCTCCCCCCTAAATGTCGGACGTCATAAGTGAACGGCCCCTTTGGGAATGGCGTATCTTGAGAATAGCTTGTTTAAAACTGCTGGTATGAAGACATTGAAGGCTTAGTTCAAGCATAGATTAAGTGAATGACAGCTATATAGCTTTTGAATTCAATTGGTGGTTTGGGGTGGGCCTATTGAGTATTGTTAGGGAGATACAATCAATATCGGACGAAAAACTAGGTTTTGACTCAATTTTGGCTAGTTTAGCTAGTTCTACTAGCTTAAAACTCAATCAGCAGTCGACCTTTGATGCAACAAAGCTAAAGTCAAGATAATTAACCTCAAAATTCAATCAACTAACCCAAAAACCTTTTTTCAATACCCTTTAGGTGGCCATGTACCCCATGCAACCCATGCCAGTGCTAAGCACATCAACAATTGAAGTCAGTACCAATTGTAACAACAAACAAAATATTCTCTGTTCAGAGTATCTCGACAGGCATCTCAGCAAATTAGATTTTTAAAAGCAGAGTATAAAATTTTGTATGAAAAAAATAATCAACAAATTTGTAAATAATAATTTTGTAATGTCACATGATAAGTTATGAAAATAAGTTGAAATACAAGAAAAGATTTTATTGGGTTAAAAATTGTGTTTTTAAGATTGAAATTTTAGGTGTTGGTGCTAATTGGTTTATGGGCGTTGAACTAGCCAGAGCTTGAAATCAACTTTGATGTCTCGACTTCTGGCTAAGGGCGATTATTTCATCAGTTTCGCACACTTGCTTAGAGCTCTGAAGCTGATAAATGAGACTTTGATGATTTATGATCAATCTGACCAGTTCTACAACTTTGATTTGATTGTAAGTTAGAACTTATTCCAGGATAGCATAAGGAACAGTAAAGATTTCATTCAATCTTGTTTAACAAGTCAAGTTTCACCTAATTAGGTGCCAATCACCTCAAACATTCTTATCATTACATGCTAGATACTGACCAGAATAATTTTTGCTTGTCAAAATTTAACACAGTGAGATGAACAAGTTTAGATAAGTATTATAACAAGAATGTGAAAAAATGAGTTGCTTTGCTAATAGGAACTTAAAGATGAAGAAAACAAAAAAAAACCTTTACCTATTCAGATCAATTGTGATCCAGAGGTGGGCTAAAGCGATTCGCAGCTAATGAGAGTTTGACGAGTTAAGATGTGCCAAACCACTGTACTCAAACCTAGACCTACAATTTATAGTGGGATCCGAATCACTCCTTTGATGATATTTCTGTCTGTAGCCTACAAAGGAAGGCTCTGAGCCTCATTTCCAGTACATATGATTCGAAAAAGGACAAGTGAAAAATTTCCCATACCCAGTCTCGAACCCACGATCGCTGTGTCGGTATTGCAATAATTAGGTACCGAAGTACTAAACCATTCCGCAACCGAGCCGCTTCAGCTCACCAACCAGAAAACAAACTGACAGAAATCCACACAGCAAGATAGAACGATATCTATCTATCCAGACAAACAGACAAACTCACAGAATCCAAAACTCAGTTCAAATCATTCAAATGAATCTACAAAAAGCTAAGAACCCCCAAAAAATTGATGAATTTAATTCTTTGTCTTACCTTTCGTACGCTTGAAATGAAGAAGATATTCATGAGTGTCCAAAAAAGGGCAACAATTCCAATCAATATGAGTATACTTATGGTGAAAACTGAAAAGAATATCAAAATGAGAATGTAAATATGAAGAAATCGTCTTCTTTGTCTTGATCGAATTTCAAAATATTTTGATTTATTTTTTTGTAATAATAAGAATCGTGCCGCGTCTCATATTTCAATATATTATGCTAGTTGTGTACTTAATGTGTATTTATGATGGGATGGATCTTGTAATGAATTTTATTGTGAATGTTTTTCATATTGACCGACACAGTTTTTTTATCTCAATTATTTTTTGTTGGTGTAATTTTTTATCAAATTACAATTTTTTTTCTATTTTTAATTTTTTTGTTATTTCCGGTTAAGTTTATTTTTAAATAATTTATTAAAAGTATTATTGGTGGGAAGATTTTGATCAATTTTGTTTTCTTACTTAAAATTTAATAATTCATTAATAAAAAGCTTTTGAATTTAACATTAAGAGTTGTTTTTAAAAACATTAAATAATTTTTAAAATTTTTCCAAATTTTTGAATTTTTTCACATTTTTGAAATTTTTCAAATTTTTGAGTGTCTTCAAAGTTTTGGAATTTTTTTCAAAATTTTTTTTGAACTTTTCAAATTTTTGAATTTTTTCAAATTTTTGAATTTTTTCAAATTTTTGAATTTTTTCAAATTTTTGAATTTTTTCAAATTTTTGAATTTTTTCAAATTTTTGAATTTTTTCAAATTTTTGAATTTTTTCAAATTTTTGAATTTTTTCAAATTTTTGAATTTTTTCATATTTTTGAATATTTTCAAATTTTTGAATTTTTTCAAATTTTTGAATATTTTCAAATTTTTGAATTTTTTCAAATTTTTGAATTTTTTCAAATTTTTGAATTTTTTCAAATTTTTGAATTTTTTCAAATTTTTGAATTTTTTCAAATTTTTGAATATTTTCAAATTTTTGAATTTTTCAAATTTTTTTGAACTTTTTGAGCTTTTAAATTTAAATTTTTTTAAATTTTTGAACTTTTTGAATTTTTTGAATCTTTTGAATTTCTTGAATTTCTAGAATTAATTGAATTTTTTGAATTTTTTAAATTTTTTGAATTTTTTGAATTTTTTTGATTTTTTTGAATTTTTTTGAGTTTTTTTGAATTTTTGAAATTCTTTGAAAATTTTTATTTTTTTGAATTTTAAAAACCTTTTTTAAGTTATTTTTAATTTTTGAACACTGACAAATTATTTTTTAAATGATTTTTAAAATTAATTTCAATTAGGAATTTTAAATTTCATAAGTCTTTTAAATCCTCCTCCAAATGTAAACTTTAAAAATTCACAAATATTTATTATTGCACAAAATACACCACAAAACCTCCATCAACAACTTTATCAACCTGCACACGCCTTATTACAAATTTCTTTATATCTTTAAAATGCGCTCAAAACTTTTTTTTTGTTTTCTTATTTTTTCAACGTCACAAAAACACCTCAATTAAAAATTTCCTTACGTTCATTGTGTAAATATGAGAATTGCTTAACAGCATATGCACAGCCAGACGCAATACCGACTAAGTTTATAAATGCAATAATATATCCGCCAACTTTCAACGATAAACAACACAAAAATGTCTTTGATCGTAACATTTTTAAAATTTCTAATTTCTATTTTTTATTTTTTGCTAAGAATGACTCTAAAAAATCTTAAAAGTTCTTATCACTTCAACTTTCATTATGTGACTGGCTATATGTTGTATAGTGGGCAATACTAGTTGAGATGAATTGTAAGAATGTGTTGAATAATTTGACTTAATATTGTTATGATTCACACGATGAATGAAGAAAGAGAGAATTATGATAACAAGAAGAAGAAATAGGAGTGAACTGAGGAAATATGCCAAGCGGTGGGTACTCAAAAGTTGGAATTTTTTAGAATTTTTGGAAAAAAATACTAGCAACGGCTCTGTCAAACAGGACGGGAAAAGTAATCGATTTCAAGCATATCCGCAATTTTAATTTGAATTTTCACAAAACAAAAATTTGCCATTCTGAATTTGAAAAAAAAATTCCACCATTTTGAATTTAAAAAAATTCCACCATTTTGAATTTAAAAATCTATTATTTTGAATTTAAAAAATCCACCATTTTGAATGTTCACAATGAAACCGCCATTTTGAATTTAATTAAAATAAGAAATTGGTTAGCAGAAAACGGGCTCTGTACAAATAAGAGGCCGTGCACTTATGACGTCCATAAAAAATTAATTTTAATTCCTTCCCCCCCAACCCCAACTGTTACAGATGTTGACCCCCCCCCCCCCATTTGTGATGTCCAAACAGAGACACTTAAAAAATATAATTTTCTCACATTGTATATTACAAATTCCCTGCAACCTCCCCCCCCCACCCCCTCCAATGTAACAGTTTGTCCAAACTCCTCCCCCTTTTAAATGTTGGACGTCAGATTTGAACGACCCCTAACGCTTTAGTTTATTTTTATTCCAAATTTAGAATAAACATCAAAACTGCCCATCCCTTGCAAGACAATAAAATACTCCAAAAGAATTTAAATTTTTTTTGCTCCAACACAACGAAACAAAAGAAAAAAACAAGAAAAAAACTTGTTCTGTAACATTTAAAAACTGGCTCTCAGAACATGCTGTACATGTGGACGACAAAATGCACAACACTATTATGGAGATGATTATATGAGCTTAAATAGCCGAAAGACATACATGCTTAGTTCTCTTTTGCTCTCTCATTCTTATTCTTATTGTGTTTTACTTGATCTTTTCTCATTTCATTCAGTTTACATTTAAAATCAAGTGCAAATATATTTAGTGGCTCAATTAAAACAATTTGTGTGGAGCGGTTCTAGAGACAATGTTGAGTAAGTTTGTACAGACGACGACCAATTTTCAATTTGAGATTTTAATTTTTTTGACAATTTTTAACAATTTTTTTTTAAATTTGATTTTTTTTGGAATTTTTCAATACAGTAAAATTTAAAATTAAGACTTTTTGTTTGGTTGAAAATTCAAAATGGCGAATTTATTGAATTGTTAAAAATTCAAAATGGCGATTCTTTTGTATCGTTAAAAATTCAAAATGGCGACTTTTTTGTATTTTTAAAAACTTAAAATGGCGAATTTTTCGATTTGTGAAAAATTAAAAATGGCGAATTTTTCGATTTGTGAAAAATTCAAAATGGCGAATTTTTCGATTTGTGAAAAATTAAAAATGGCGACTTTTTTTTCGCCAAAAATCAAAATGGTGACTTTATTGTATTTTTAAAAATTCAAAATGGCTATTTTTTGTTCTATTCAAAATTCAAAATGGCGAATTTTTTGTTGTTAAAATTTCAAAATGTCGACATTTTTGTATCGTTAAAAATTCAAAATGGCAAAATTATGGTGTTGTTAAAAATTCAAAATGGTGACTTTTTGTATTTTTAAAAATTCAAAATGGCTATTTTTTGTTTTGTTAAAAATTCAAAATGGCGATTTTTTGTTTTGTTAAAAATTAAAAATGGTAAATTTTTCGCTTTGTGAAAAATTCAAAATGGCGACTTTATTGCTTTAGTAAATATACAAAATGGCGGCAATAATGATTTAAATTGATGTTTTCTGTCATTTTTAACGGGGAATTCTCCTAGTGAATTTTACTAATTTTTGAATTATTTTAAAAAAATTTAAAGCGCTTTTTTCAATTTCTTACTTGACAACTCATCTTCAATTTAGATGATAATTGATTAATTAATAAAGTGTAAAAATGATAACGAAGCTAGAGTTACGACAGCATGGAATCAAATGACCCATTTCACAAAGGCGATAAGAAAGCTGAGCAATTTACTGTTATATTCGAGATTTATGGCTTTTTAAGTATGTAATATTGCATAATGATGTCAACTCTGATGGGGAGTTCCGGAAAATGTTTATTTACTGAATGATTAACTCAAAACGTCATTTTATTATTTTATTTCATTTTCAGCATCATTTTCACATTTTGGGTTCTTCAACACATCATCTGGTCCGAGACATGAAGCATACATCATCCCATGTGCTATAAAGTTCTGCTCATAAACTCCAGTAAACAGCTGTGAAAGTCAAAATCAGTATTTACTTAAGATATCCCAAAGCTACTCACATGAGAATAAGGTCCACTAGCAAAAACCCCAACATCTTCACCAGAATGCGTACCTTCATTCATAGGAGCTATTGATGGAGGTCTGAATGTTGGTTCCATGTAATTCATTCCCCTTGGACTTATTCTTTCACCAGTTGTCTTGTCAACATGATCATAATAGCCAGGTCCGAATGTATAGCTTGTAGAAAGCACCCATTTGTTGTCAATGAATGAATAGTGACCAGGACCGAGGATGTTTCTTCCACGTGGCTGTAATTGGATGTTGATAATAATAATTATTGCCTAATTAATCTTCAGGACATCCAGGATTAGATTATTGGATTTAGACAGTGACTAGGGTTGGGTTAGTGCTGTCAATTAGGAACACATCAACATTGAACGACTCAAAACTAATGGAAATTAAAGCTACAACTCACCGGATAAGCTCCAACTGTAAATGGATGACTGTGATCAGCAGTTACAATAATCAGTGTATCCTCTTCATTTGTGTTCTGCTTGACATATTCAACAGTTTTGTGGAATTCCACAACTTCTTCCAATGCATTTCTGACTTGATTCAAGTGATGAGCTCTGTCAATCATTCCACCTTCAACCATCAACATGAATCCATTTTCTTGATTTTTCTTAAGGATATCCAATGCCTTTGCAGTCATTTCAGTCAATGTTGGTTGAGTTTCGTCGTTTGCGAGAAGTTTGAAGTTTAAGTGACTATTTGCGAATAAACCAAGAAGCTTATCTATTGTTTTTGGATCGACTGACTTCAACTGATCCTTATTGTAGACCACAGATGAGTTCTTATGCTGCTTCTTATATTCATCGATTAAATTCCTTCCATCACGACGTTTCCCACCCAAATTTGCAGGCATCAAGTTCTCCAAACCACCGCCAAGAACAACATCAAGCTTACTTCCAACTGGTCCATGAATCAACTGCTTCCCAATGTCATCGCACTCAGCTGGAATTCTTGACTTATCAAATTCCCATAAAGATGAAGGAGACATAGCATAAGCAGCTGCTGGTGTCGAGTGAGTAACTTTTGTTGTTGTCACAATTCCTGTAGACTTGCCAGCATCTTGAGCATATTTAAAGATTGATGGAACTTTTGCATCCTCATTCAGACTCGCTGAACAATTAGCATGACTCACACTTGCTGCAAGTCCAACAACAGCGAAATTCGTCTTTACACCACGCATGATTGCTGTTGCTGTACATGCTGAGTCTGGAACTTGATAATTTACAGAATAAACCTTTGATAAACCAGCGTATGGAAATTTATCAAATGAGAGCTCAGTGCTGACATCCTTGAGGTATGAACGAGCTGCCATAATTGTGGAGATTCCCATTCCATCACCGATCATGATGACGACATTTTTGGATTGATTAAGGTTCACTTTTGTATTGAGTTTGTCTTGAAGAGTCTTTTGGGCTTTGGATTTCCAAAAATGTTGAGAAAATTCTTCTGAAGGTCCTTTAGCTGGAATAAAGTCTTTAGCAAACCAGTCAGGTATGTCATTGTCCCATCTTGGATCATCAAAGGTCCATTCTTCTCGGTTTTGTGGAGCTGCTGAAACTATTAATAATATTTTTAAATGGCTGTAAATTATTATGATCTGGCAAATCACATCTCGGCTAGACCATACCTTTACCATACCTTTACCAGACCTAGACGAGACCTAGACCAGACCTAGACCAGACCTAGACCAGACCTAGACCAGACCTAGACCAGACTTAGACTAGACCTAACCCAGACCTAGCAAATACCTATACCAGACACAGACTAGACCTAAACAAATCACAGACCTGAATTACTTAAATTCTTCAATTTGTCAAGCCAATCAACAAAAAATCATACAACATGACTTTAAAGTCAGCGATTATTCTTGACAATGAATTTTTTTCCTGCCTTGACCTTACCCAAGAATTTTATTTTTTGTCGTGACAGTTTGATAAGAAATTATGACACAATTATTAAGTAAGTTTCAATGTCCAAAACTGACTCGAACAAACCTTCTTGTTTAATTCTTGCTGCATTTCCAACGAGGAACAAATAAAAGTTGAGAATAAAAATTAATTTTATCATTTATTTCTATTTTTAACTCTTTTTTTTGAGGCTACTTCACAATATGTTTATAGGTCTTATCAGCTAAAAGTATTGAAACAGACTGAGCAAGATAGTTTGAAATTAAATCGTATTAATCAGAATTGAGAGACTCTTGAGTGTCATCTCATATTGACGTAGTCAAAGATGACACTTTGGGTTCTTTAAAACATCATCTGGTCCAAGACATGATGCATACATCATCCCATGTGCTATGAAGTTCTGCTCATAAACTCCAGTGAACAGCTGTGAAAGTCAAAATCAGCATTTACTTAAAATATCCCTAAAGATCATAAGCTACTCACATGAGAATAAGGTCCGCTAGCAAAAACCCCAACATCTTCACCAGAATGCGTACCTTCATCCATTGGCACAGCTGATGGCTGCTTGAATGTTGGTTCCATGTATTTCATCCCTCTTGGACTCTTCCTCTCTCCTGCTTCCTTATCAAAATGATTATAGTAGCCTTGACCTTGTCCATAGCTTGCTGAGAAGATCCATTTCTTATCCTCAATTGAATAGTCACCAGGACCTAGTATGTTCCTGCCACGTGGCTGGAATTTTATACAGTTTTAGGATTTTTTGAAGAAAAATAAAGTTTTGGATGTTCGTCTGTCTGGGTTTCCCACTTCTACTTAAGGTATGACCTCCAGTCTTTTAACTCACCAAATATCCACCAATTGTAAACGGATGACTGTGATCAGCTGTGACAATAATCAAAGTATCCTCTTCATTTGTGTTCTGCTTGACATATTCAACAGCTTTATGGAATTCCACAACTTCCTCAAGTGCCAAATGAGCTTGGTTCTCATGATGAGCTCTGTCGATCCTTCCGCCTTCAACCATCAACATGAATCCATTTTCTTGATTTTTCTTGAGGATATCCAATGCCTTTGCAGTCATTTCAGTCAATGTTGGTTGAGTTTCGTCGTTTGCGAAAAGTTTGAAGTCTAAGTGACTATTTGCGAATAAGCCTAGAAGCTTATCTGTTGTTTTTGGATCGACTGACTTCAACTGATCCTTATTGTAGACCACAGATGAGTTCTTATGCTGCTTCTTATATTCATCGACTAAATTCCTTCCATCACGACGTTTCCCACCCAACTCTTCAGGCATTAAGTTCCCCAAACCACCGCCAAGAACAACATCAAGCTTACTTCCAACTGGTCCATGAATCAGCTGCTTCCCAATGTCATCACAACCATCAGGTACTAAATTATCATCACTTTCCCAATTTCTGGATGCAGCATAAGCATAAACAGCTGCTGGAGTCGAATGAGTGACTCGAGTTGTTGTCACAATTCCTGTAGACTTGTCAGCATCTTGAGCATATTTGAATATTGAAGGAATTCTTGCCTCTTCGTCATGACTTGCTGAGCAATTGTAAAGATTGACTTTTGATGTTAGTCCAATGACACTGTAGTTGTTCTTGATACCTCTCAGTATTGCTGTGGCTGTACATGCTGAGTCTGGGACTTGATAATTTACACAATAAACTTTTGACATTCCAGAGTGATGGAATTTCTCAAAAGAGAGCTCAGCACTGACATCCTTAAGGTATGAACGAGCTGCCATAATTGAGGAGAATCCCATCCCATCACCGATCATTATGACCACATTCTTGGCCTTATTTGTGTTAATTCTTGAGTTGAGCTTGTCTTGAAGAGTCTTTTGAGCTTTAGATTTCCAAAATTCTTGTGTCGATTCTTCAGCTGGACCCACAGGGGGTTTGAAATTCTTTTGGTCCCACCAATTAGGAATTAATGACTCCCACTTAGGGTCATTGTAGGACCATTCGTCATGATTTGGGTCAAATACTGAAATACAAATAGAGATATTAAAAGGATGAGTTTAGTTATGTAGGGGATAGGTTAAGTTTAATCATGGATAAGTTCAGTTGAGTAAAGGATAATTCCAGCCAGATAAGACATAAGTTCAGTTGAACGAGGGATAAGTTCAGTTAAACTGGGGATAGGTTCAGGTAAACTAGGGATAAATTCAGTTAAACTAGGAATACGTTGAATTAAACTGGGGATAAGTTCAGTTAAACTGGGGATAAATTTAGTTAAATCAGGAATACGCTCAGTCAGATAAAGGATGTGGTCAGTTAATACGACATTTTTATTCAAACAAAGGTAAAGTTCAGTTGAATAAGGCATACATTTAGTAAAATGAAAGATACGCAAAGTTTAACAACAGATAATTTGAATTTCATAAACGCTTGAAGAAAAGGTTCAGTAAATTTTAGGATAAGTTCATTCATATCAGGGAAACGTTCATTTAAATCAGGGATAAGTTCAGTTATATTAGGGATAGGTTCAGATATAAAAGGGATTAGTTCAGTTATATTAGGGATAAGTTCAGTTATATCAGAGTTGAGTTCAGTTACATCAGGGATAATTTCAGTTTTATCAGGGATAAGTTCAGTTGTATTAGGGATAAGTTCAGTTATATCAATGATAAGTTGATTCAAATCAGGGTTAAGTTCAGTTATATCAGGGATAAGTTCAGTTATATTAAGTATAAGTTCAGTTATATCAGTGATAAGTTCAGTCAAGCTTTTAATCGCAGCAATGACTTAAAGTTGCATCGAGTGCTAATTTTTCAATAATTATTTTCACTTAGATAAGATAACAGTCACCTTAATTGCATCAAAAATAAGAATTTTTTCAACTTACTTTCCCTGTTCAAATTCAAAGAATGTCCAAACACAAGAACACAGCCAACAATTATCAATATTAAGTTCACAACAATAAGAAAATATGCATTAATACTAAGCCGGGAACAGCAATGTTTATTATTTATTTGCTGAATCATCGCTAATATAACAAAACTACCAACGACGTTGTTATCACTTTGACTCTCATTGTAAGACTAAATTGTTGTTGAGTGTTTAAAAAAACATCTGTAAATTGAGTATAAGTGTTGGATAAAATTGAGAGAATAGCTTGTGAGAATGCAAATCTATTTGGTGAATAAAACTCAAACTATTCTTAAATTTTCAACTTTATTTCGTCAAAATTTAAATTAAAATTTACTTTTTCCTCCCCAAACATTTTCCAAAACTCTTTTGATTCGGCACCAAATCCTTTCCAGAATCTTTATCAACAAACTCAATTGCGAATTCCACGAAATTTTCAACATTGACTTTGAACTTCTCAGAATCAAAAGTTCCAGATTCTATTCCATTTTTGTACATTTTGATTGTTGGATAGCTGAAGACGCCTTGTTTTTCACATGTTGATTTGTTCTTGATGCATTCGAGCTCTGCAACTTGAATTCTTGATGATTTTAGCTTGTCGCCGACTTTGAGCCAGATCGGAGCTACTTTTTTGCTGAATGGACATCTGAAAAAATTTCAAATTTTGAGGTTAATTTTCCTTATCTTAATTATTTCAAGTCAGTCTCTCTTTCTCAGGTTTTCAGATTGTCTGGCTGTCTGGGTATCAGTATATTAGTCTGTAAGTTTAGGTTTCAGGTTGTTTGGGTGTCTGGCTGTCAGGATAAAAGGTGCGGAACTGATCAAAAATTATCAAATTAATCAATTCCACACTTGGTCAGGCTGTCTGTGAGTTTGTCAGCTGGTAAGTCTGTAACTCTAGCTTTCAAGCTGTCTGTTCGTCAACCTATTAGCCATGAAGCTAGTCTACCCATACTTACTGCTCAGTGAAGAATTTAACATAAAGAAATTGATAATCATCCAAAGATTGATCAAAATTGCTCGCTGTCAATTCAAAAATGCCTGATTCTTGGCAAATTCTAGTCCGAAATTGTAGAATTATTAAAATTATTGAAATTATGAAAAACTTTTGCATTTTAATAAATTTATGAAAAAAATATTTTGATGTTTATAAGCAGACGTTTAGATCAAGACTGCATCTGGACACTCAGATGTCGTAACATACGAGAAATGTAGAGCTTTAAATTAATGTAAATTGAACATAATGAGGCAATTACTTCAAAGAACAAGATCACGAGATTTTTATTTTTAAAACCTTTTTAGCGCATTTTTGAAACTTGTTTCTAAAAAGTAGCTTAATAATACACTTTGTTCGGCTGTGTGGCTGTTCGGGCGAAGAAAAACTTTTTAACCAGACATCTTAGAAAGCTCAGGTTTGTTTTATTAGCTCCGTTACTATCGATTTATCGGCTTATCGAATCGTTTAAATTCTTAAAACCATATATTTATGCTAAAATTAATGATTTTTTATTTCACAAACAAAATCACGTGATGATTACGTTTAAATTTATTTCTTCCGTTAAAATATTTAAATTTCAAAAAAATTGTTAATGGAAAATTCTTTTGATTAATCGATTCGCATTTTGATGCTTGTCAAATACTGATCGCTGCGTCAAAAATGCGCTTAACAAAAAATCTCAAAATTTAGTCTTCAAAACTCAAATCAACCTCAATTAAGTCAAAAACAATCCAAAAATCTCAACAACCCTAAAATATTTACAAACCATTTTCATCACCAGCAGGTAGCATGCCAGCATATAATTTCCATACAACTCTCCCTCTTCATTTAGTACAAACAATTTCATCGCCCTTGCTGCAAACTAATTCCAAAAAATAAATTTTCTTTTTATTTATAAACAAAAACAACGAAAAAAATGCCGCGAAAAAAATTAAAAGGAAATAAAAAGCGAAATTCTGAAAGAAAGTCCGATCAATTAAGCAGTCCGAAGGCTTTTGGAGGTAAAGTGCTTAGTGAGTCATCGTTAGCTCTCAAAAATTGGCTTGAGGATGTCTGTGTTAATATGGAAAATGACGATATGGAAGAATATGATGTTCCTGAAATCGATCAAATGGAAATTGAGGATCTTGAGGATGAGAATAATGAGTGTAACTTGAAGGAACTTGAGGTAAGATGTGTTATGAGACTTTGGGAGTGGATTGGGTAGGATGACAATGTTTACGGAGGGTTTGAGAATTTTAAGACAACCTTTTGCGATGCAAAATAGTAGAATTGGCACACAATTGGCTATTAGACGTCATTTATGATGAATCCTAAAGCTTATTTGCTGAATCTTCAGCCAAAGACTATTTTTGGTTACCTTTAAGAAGTTAATAAGGAATAAAGGAATGAAAATGTGTATTTAAGCCAGTGGTTCTCAAACTGTGTGCCGCGGTACTGCAGTGCACCGTTAAAGAATTCCAGATGTGCTGTGAAAAAATTAAAACAGAAAAGTGTGTCGTGGACCAAAAATTCAAGTTTGAGAAACACTGGTCCAAAGAGTCTTAGCTAGTCCTATATGTCAATCATGTCAAAGCTAAGCACCAACTTACTCAAAAATCTAATTTTCCACACCATTTTCTCACCCCACAGAAGCCCCTCACCTACCTCCTCCGCAAGCACCCCGACTCGCACATCAAAAAGCTCATAAAAATCGAATGTGAATGGGAAAAGTGTCTGTACGAGACAATTGACGACAAAGCCTACTTCCTTCATGTCCACAATCATCTGTTGGAAGTAAAGAATTCTCAAATTTGTACCTGCAAGTGGAACCTTTGTCGATTCGAGACGGAAAATCGTGAGGAATTTATTCGACACTTGGACTATCATGCTTACCACACGAAGCTTAAAACTTTTGGATTTGCACTTGTCAACATCATCAGCGTTCCCGTGTGTCAAGCTGACTCGAAATTTCGCAATGTCATTCCGTCAATTCCTGACAATTACTTTTGTCATTGGAACAACTGCAACGAGACTTACACGACATTTTTGGACTTTATACAGCATGTGAATCATCACATTAATGACGACTTTCAGACTGGCTCGACGACATGGAAGTTTTATGATCGTGTAAAGCTTCGGGATATTCCAGTGAATTGCAAATGGAGTGGCTGTGAAAATAAGAAATTACCAAATATTTTTGAGCTTAAGAGGCACTTGAAGACTCACACGAATGAGAAAATGGTTGGATGCATTAATTGTGGACATTTGTTTGCTAATAAGCAGTTGTTTATTAATCATTGTATGCGGCAGGTTGTTGGACGTGAGTATTGGAATTTTAAATGTTTTAAGCTTTGGTCTATGGCTTTTAGGGTTAGATTTCAAGGTGCAAATCAGTTCAATTGATCATTTTTATCAGTTTTGCTCGGGGGTCGTTCACTAATGACGTCCAACAGTTAAAGAGGAGGGGGGGGGGGGGGGGGGGTGGAGGGGGTCAGGAAATTCTTGACATCCAATTTTTTAATCAAGAAATTATAATTTTTTTTGTGTCATGGATTGGACGTCACAAAAGGGAGGGGGGGTGGGGGGGCATCTGTGACACTTTTGTGACAGTGGGGGAGGGGTTCTAAAAATTAGAGTTTTGGATGGACGTCATAAGTGAACCATGATTTCAAGGACTTATTGCTGATTACCTTGCTACATGATGAAGATTGTTCCTGACCCAAAAGACCTTTGACAATTGTCTGTTGATCTTTGAGTCCCAGAACAAAGCACAATCTTAGTTTATGGAGTTCCAAATTCAATTTTAACCCAAAACTCAAATTCTTCATCCCACAGAGCGAACCTTCAAGTGCACGGAATGCATAAAATTCTATCCATCTGAGAAGCTCCTTAAAGATCACGCAAGAAGTCACGTCAACAAGTATCAATGCTCAATTTGTGGACTAAGTTGTCAAAAGCAGTCTGTTCTGGCAAGACGTAAGTGACTCATGACTCATTAAGTACCAATAATGGCAGATATTAAAGGATAATTCAATTCTGACTCTCCACAGATATTCGGTACCGTCATGTGAGCAACAAACCTTATGCTTGTAAGAAATGCAGCTATAAAGGAACAACAAAGCGTGACTTGGACTCTCATGCAAGTAAGTAGAAATGTGAAAAAATCATTTTTTTTGATGTCAAATTAATTGTGAAGAACCTAAAATTCTCCATTCCAACAGACAGCCACAAAACTGGTGACTTCTTCAAATGTGACGTCTTTCAATGCAACTACTCGTGCAGAACTTTAATGGCATTAAAGCGACATGACGCAAGAGAACATTTGGGACAGCCAGCATTCTACATTTGCCACATTTATGGATGCAATAAAAAGTTCCTTCGAGGCTATTTGCTGACCAAGCACTTAAAAGCTGATCATGACTTTATCAGTCCACCTGGACATTCGAGATTTATTTATAAGCAGGATGAGGATGGATTTTATAGACTGCAGACGAAGAGAGTTGAGAATTTAAAGGAAACTAAAGTTGCTGTCAGTTCTCCGAGTGGATTTAGTGGAACTAAAATTTCTTATGAAATTTCCAGCATTCAAAACTTGACGGATTCTGTGAATATAGATTTTAGAGTGATTTCTCCAGATGCTGATGAGGATATTGTTGAGGCTGATAAGAAGGACATCAATGACTTTGCTATTGTTAAGAATTATAATAAATTAATTGGGAAAAAAGTTAAAAATTTGTAGAAAAGTTTCAAAATTGGTGAAAATAAAATTCAAAAAATTTTAAACACATTCCAAATTTTTTAATAAAAATCAAAATTTAAAAAAAAATTATAAATCCAAAAAATCAAAACTTCAAAAAAAATCAAAAATTCAAAAAAAAATCAGAAATTCAAAAAAAAATCTAAAATTCAAAAAAAAATCCAAAATTCAAAAAAAATAAAAAATTCAAAAAAAAAATCAAAAATTTTATAAATTTCAAAAACATTTAAAAAATCAAAAAAATCAAAAAAATCAAAAAAATCAAAAAAATCAAAAAAATTCAAAAACTTTCAAAAACTTTCAAAATAAATTAAAAAATCAAAAAATTTCATAAATTTCAAAAAATTCAAAAACAATCGAAATAAATTGAAAAAAATTTTATAAACTTCAAAAATTTCAAAATCTTTCAAAAAAAATTAAAAAATCAAAAAAGATAAAAATCAAAAAATTTCATAAACTTCAAGAATTTCAAAAATTTTCAAAATAAATTAAAAAATCAAAAAAATCAAAAAAAATTCAAAAAATTCAAAAACACTCAAAATAAATTAAAAAATCAAAAAAATCAAAAAATTCAAAAAATTCAAAAACATTCAAAATAAATTAAAAATCAAAAAAAATCAAAAAATTTCATAAACTTCAAAAATTTCAAAATTATTCAAAATAAATTAAAAAATTAGAAAAATTCGAAAACTTCTAAAATTTCTAAAATGTTTAAAATAATTGAAAAAATTTAAAACAATTCAAAAATGTCAAAAAATCAAAATTGAATCCAAAATTTATTACAAAAATCAAGGAAAACTATAATTTGGGAAAGTTTCAGCACCATAATCACCACTTGGATAAACAGTGTAATCATAATTATTATTAGTTCCAATGTCATAATTTAAACCGTAATTTGTGCCATAATTATAGTTGTTGTAGTTATTGTTATTGTTGCCATTGCTGAATGGATTAAACGAATAATTATAATTATAACTTGGAGTCCTTGGACGATTAAACCCGAAATAATTATATCCATTTTGAAGCTTTCGTTTTGGACTTTGAAAGCCAAAGAATCCAAATCCATTGTTGTTGTTATTCCTGTTCGAGTATCCATTACCAAAATTGAAGCCATTTCCAAAATTGTATCCGTTCCTAAAGTTGTTTCCATTCCGTCTGTTTGAGTTGTTCCTGTTCTTGCCATTTCTTCGATTGTTGTTGTAATTCTGGCTTCCAGATCCTGTGCCATACCCAAAAAAGTCTAGAAAACCTTTCGAGCGATGCGGAGTTGTGAAGTGAAGGAAGCAAATTAGTAAAAATATTTGAATCATCAGAATCTGAAATTAATATCGGTTTTAATTAAGTAAAGCTTCAAAATCTTGGTTTAAACTTACTCTCGACTTATCCATGCTGTCGAATTTTTAATAAACTTTTGTTAAACTTCACAAAATCTAAGTTTGATGTCATTAGCTACTAAGCTGTTTAAATCCACTGCTTAGCTTGGGAATCACACTAAAACTGAAGAATTTGTTAACCTTCATTTTAGTATGTTTGAAATTTTTTTGACAATAATTGAATTATTTTGATTAAAATTGTTTGTTGCTTAAAACGATTAACTTTCATAATAGAATTTTAATATCATTTTTAAGTATTCTTTTCTGGCCAGTTTCTGTGTCATTAATTGGTGTAAATGAAGGTCCATTAAAAGCTTTGACCCCAAAAACTCATTTCTGGATACGCCCCTCAATTCAGCTAATGAGACAATTCAAAAAAAAAGCAGCTAAATGGGAGTTTTACGAGAGAAGGTTCGTTAGACCTCCCGCTCAAATCTAGACCTACAGTTTACAGTGGAATCCGAACCACTTACTGCCTGTAGTCTACAGAGGAAGGCTGTGAGCCTCATTTCCAGTACATATGATTCGAAAAATGACAAGCGAAAAATTCTCCATCTCAAGTCACGAACCCATGATCGCGTGTTGGTTTTGCAATAATTAGGCACCGAAGTGCTAAACCATTCCACAACATCAGTAGCCGGTTTCTACGGCTACCTGGGGCACTATCTTCCCCTAAACCTTACCACGGTAAATAGATCTCCACCATCCTTCCCAACACTGCACTAGATCAACTTATGTGGAGGATGGGATAGGTAACCCCTGGGGTTAACCTACCTACCCAGGTCGGGGGAGGGGTGACTGTGCCCCGGGTGGCCCTAGAAACCAGCTCAGTGATTCATTGCAAGCTCTATTTAATTTAATTTTGATTTAATTTTAAAAAGAAAGCAAAAGATCCAAAAAAATGTTCAGTAAGCTGGAAACAGAATTTACTAAAATGTGTCAGAAGGGCTGGGCCGTTCACTTATGACATGTAGGTTTGAGGGGGGAGGGGGGGGGGGAGGTGGGTCATCAAAAAAAGAACAATAGAAATTCCTAGAAATCCATTGTTCCTTTTTTGTACAGTGACCATTAATTTCGGACGTCATTAGTGAACGATCCCTGATTAATATTCACTTGATTACCTTGGATGCTGCCTTCAATCTAGTCAGTTACACATTTTTCTTAAATACCAAATTTATTCTTTAAACTCTTTAAAATAAATCACAAAAATAATTTTCTAACGCACAAATTCATCACGAGTAATCACTCGAAGATCCATAAGATCCATAATTATTATTATTATTATTACTATTCCCAACATAATCATAGTTGTAGTTGTTATTAGAATTTGATCCATAGTTGTTGCTTCCATAGTTGTTGTAGTTGTAATTGTAATTGTTATTTGCACTGTTGTTGGGATTATTTGAGTTGCTGGGCTGGGTTTGTGGTCTGAAGAATCCAAAAAAGCTGTAACTGCTTAAAAGTCTTCTTCTTGCATTTTGAATGTTCGAGGAACTTAGTCCAAAATTGTTGTTATTTCTGTTGCTGTTTCTATTGTAATTGTTGTTGTTGAAGTAGCCACCCCAATAGTTGAAGTTGCTTGGACGGTTCATTTTGTTCCTGTTGAAGTTGTTGTATCCATTGTTAAAGTTGTTGCTGTTGCTATTCCAACGGTTGTTGTTGGTATTTCCGATTCTTCCAAATCCAAAAAATTCTAATAAGTTCCTCGATAATGACAAATGGAAGAAGCAAATCAAAATGAAGATTTGAATGACGAGAAACTGTAAATTTAAAGGAATGAACATTAAATATGATTGACACTTAGATTGGAGGTTGGTTTTTAAGGCACGGGTGTTTAATGATTTTATCGTAGATTCCCCCGAACAGCTAGACACTAGAACGTAGTCTGGGAGAGCTTACTGTCCAACTGCGCACTTTTGCGAGGGACAGTCCCGCTTTTTAACAGCATTTTTAAAACTTGTTTCTAAAAGGTAGCTTAATAATACACTTTGTTCGGCTGTTTGGCTGCTCGGGCCAAGAAAAACTTATTAACCAGATATCATAGAGAGCTCGGGTTTGTTTTATTAGCTCAGTTTTATCGAATTATTGGCCGGTCGAACAGTTAAAAGTCTTGAAACAATGTATTTATACTTTAATTAATGATTTTTTTATTTCATATGAAAAACACGCGATGGGTGCGTTCAGAACTTTGAATATTTTTCAACCATTGTAAAAGTTGTAATCAGGTTGTGTTCAGAAAGTCGAATTTCTTTAACCGGTAAAAATTTGAATTATAAAAAACCGTTAAATGATAAAGCTTTTCAACTTGGACATTCATTGTGATTATTTGTTAAATACATTAAAATTGATGATCATTAATTTTCTAGTGATCTGCAAATGAACGCAAAAAATCGGAAAAAAACGATGGATCGATGGGAAAAAATTTCAATAATTCAAAGGGAACTCTTGAACAAAACTTCAAACACTCCCGGACTAAATGTAGATTGATTTTTGGAGGAGATTGGACGTAGAATACTTATAATCCTTGATACATACTCTCAGAAACTTCATAGTCCTCAATTTAATTTCCAGTCTAATGTTAAAAGTCAAAACTATTTTGATGAACTAAAATTACATTTTTGACCGACACTTTGTTTTATTTAAAAATATTAAAATTCAAAAAAATTTGATCAATTCAATTAAAACTTCATTAAATTCAAACCATTAAAAAGCAATTTATTAAAGCTTAAATGCTGAGTCGAAATCTTTTTTTTGCATCATCTAGTAATGTAATTTTAATGACAATTTTCACAAGGTTTAGTCACAAAAGTAATAAAATATTAAATTAAAAAAATTATTTGGTAACTTTTTTTTTATTGTTTGCTTAAAGTTATTACAAAATAGGAAGAAAGTTGAACTTTGGTGCACCTCAATTAAATTTTTTATTGGCTAATTGATAGGTTGTCCAGCTGTGCAGCTTTGATCTGGACATTCCCACATTTTTAAACATAATCCTGCCTAAAATCCTTAATTCCACTTTTTTTTTTGTTGGAAAATGCTTAAAAATTTTGTCTGTCCCGCTTGTGTCCTGCTTTTTGCCCAAAACATCCCAAAAACCCAAGGACAGCCTGATTAATCACTATTTAATTTTTTGTCTCATAATAAAGCTCCCTGAGCTTATCAAGCCTCGATTCTGCTTCAATTTTAGCAGCTTTAATATTCGCATAAGCACAGCTGCCAAGTCCACGACCCTCAAACTCACTATCCAAATTCTGTTCCAAACTTTCACTATCCAGTTCCAATTCCTGAGCAACTTTAAGAATCAATTCTGAATAAGCATCGCCAATCGTGTCCTCAGTCAAGTTCATAAAGTTTCCAGCTTTTAGTTTCTTTTCCTCGTCCGTAAATTGTGACTTGTCTTTTAAATTCACAAAATATAAAGCACAAAGTTCAGTTTGCGACGAGACTGTCGTGAAGAATTCCGATGAAAAATTATTAATCGCGTCCAAATGTTCGCCACAAAAGACTGGATCGTCAGTGACAGTAATTTTTGAATCTGAAAGCTCAGCAATTAAAATAAATTTGAGGGCAAAAATTGCAATTTTTTTCATTTTTAAACTGATTGAAATTTAAACTGCAAATGAGCTTGAGCTGCTTTTGGGGACAATTTTTATAGTAAAAATTTCCATATGGACGACTTCATTTGAAGCTCACGACTTTCGATAAATTGCCAAACAAGTTGTTGTTTACGTTCTGAAGCCGGCGTTAAACTTTCAGGAATAAAGTTTAAAAATATTACAGAAGTCCTCGTGTTATTGATCGAGGGACTTGAGCGCATTTTTGTGTTATCGATCCGTATGGGGCCGTTCACTTATTACGTAACGCTTTTAGGGGGGAGGGGGGTCTAAGATTTTGTTACGGTTCAAACAAAAGAATTTTTTTTTCATACAAATTTTGTTACGAGGGGGGGAGGGGGTCTAAAAGTAGTTTTTTCGCGTTACGTAATAAGTGAACGGCCCCTATTTGATTTTCTAATTATTTTGTGTCCACTTACGGATCATGAGAAGATTAGAAATTCATTAATTTTAGTGTAATTAACAAATAATTACAATGAATTTCCATATAGAAAAGGTTTAAAATTTAACGGTTTTTTGAAATTCAAATTTTACAACGGCTAGAAAAAATTTGAAATTATAGAGGTAAAATAAAATTTGGTCAGGTTACACTGTAAACAAAATAAAAATCATTAATTATAGTATAAATACACTGTTTTAAGACTTTTAAATGCTCGGCCGGCCAATAACTCGATAGTAACGGAGCTAATAAAACAAACCCGAGCTCTCTACGATGTCTGGTTAAAAAGTTTTTCTTGGCCCGAGCAGCCGAACAGCCGAACAAAGTGTATTATTAAGCTATCTTTTAGAAACAAGTTTCAAAAATGCGCTAAAAAGTTATAATAATTCATGTAAAGGGGTCATTGTAGGGTTAGAGAGGCTACGAGGTTCATAGAGCTGGAGGGAACATCCTAAATTGTGGATTTTTGAGAAACAACATCTAAACCCAGATAACAGACTTCCCCGGTGACCCAAAATAACATGGTTTTTAATAAATTTTATTTAAAACTTTATTTCAATTTTCTTTTTATGAAAAAATTACTTTAAACATTTTTAAAATCATTAAATGGATATTTACAAATTTCAATCAAAACATGAGATTTATAAGAACCTTTCTTTTAATTCCTTCGTCTGTTGGTGTTCTCTGCATGGACATCTAGACCTCCGCTTTTAATCCAGCCATAGAATTTAGGGACATCCGTAAAAATTGCTTCCCTTTGAACATCACATTGTAGGATAACATTATTAAAGGAAGAAGAAACAATCCCGCGTAAATAATAAGCCAAACTATGGATGACATAAACTCCACTTCCGCTGTCACCATCACAGACTCCACGTCCATCAGCCGAACCTCCACAAAATGTTCTGTGACTTATCAATGATCGATGATCTGAGCTGTGTTCGGAGCAGTTTTTAAAGTCATAAATTGAAATTTCAATCTTTTTTGCGACATCCGAAATTGTTCCTGCTTCTGTCTTTCCAAATCCAATGACAGTTCCTAAAGAAGCACCAGCCGCACCTGATTCAACATCTGGCACACAAATCGGTCTGACAAACTTGTTAAACTTTACAGCTTCAGCAAGTTCTAAGACAGCAATGTCAGCATCATATGAGTCTGAATGGACATCCCAGTCTGGATGGATATGAATGGCATTGACATCAACCAAGATTCGACCTTGTTCATTTGCAATTGATAAGTTGTGGACACCAAGAAGAACTGAAAAGTCACATGACGTGAATTTATGAGCATTTTTCTTTTCATTCATGCAATGTGCAGCTGTAAATAAGGAAAACTGTAAAATAAATTAGAAATTGGTCAATATTGTGTACTTTACCAGTCACGACATGCTTGTTTGACACGAGAGTTCCTCCACAAAAGTAAGATCCCGACTTGAGGACTAATGCTGCATTCCTATTGATATGTTTTGTTAGAATTAACATTTTATAAAAATTTAGGAGAAAAGTTTACCACGGAAAGTCATTGCGTCCTGTTGAAGATCCATTGATGATGCGCGATGAATGTAATAAGAAGCTTCCACACTGCACTTCATTTGGCTCTATACGTCGGCGATAGCTGCTGAAGCAGTTGATTAGTTCTTGTTTTATTTTGTTTCTTTCATGGATATTTTCACGGCTGCAAACATTTCCTAACATGTCAAGCCACTCGACTGCTGTTTTGTTGATGATTCTTTCATCAATTGCGTTGATTTTGTTGTTTTGTAAATTAATTATTTGTAAATTTTTGTGAATTCCGAATGAGTCTGAGTGAATTGTTGTCAGTTGATTGGAATCTAAGTGCAGCTCTTTCAAACTACTCAAACTCGCAAAAGCATTTTTTGGTAAATCTTGAATTTCATTGTTATAAAGCCCAAAAATTTCTAAAGATTGAAGACTTTCAAACCATTTTGGATTTAATGCGTGAATTTTGTTATTGCTTAGATATAAATTGCTTAGCTCTGTGAGTGGCATGAAAATGTTTGGTGGCAAACAAGAAATCTGATTATTATCTAAGTTTAAAATCTCAAGTTCATTTTGTTTTGAGAAAACATTTTCCGGTAATGTCCTTAATTTGCCACTCTTAAGATTAATTCCAAATAAATTTGAATTAAAAGAAAATAAATTTTCTGGTATTTCTTCCATTTCTAAGCCTTCAATCCAAATGTTTTTCAAATTTGTGCATTGTTGAATCAAATTTTCGTTGACAGATTTTAATTCCCTAATCCAAACAAAAGTCGCGTTTTCAAATCGCTGACAAAAAGGACTTAAATCTGTTAAATCTAATTGAGTTAAATCTTTTTTGTTGAATCCCTCAACTTCAATTATCTTAACATTTTCATCAGTCTTTCCATAATCATGTTTTTCTTCCATGCTCCTTGAGTCTGGTTTTATATTGCATGCGTAGCCAAACAAACCATAATCAAATTGACATTTTAAGCATGCTGCATATTTCAAATTAACAACACAAAGCAGAAAAGTCAACAAAAATGCAAAAAACTTCATTTTTAAATCACGCGCGGAAGTTTAAAAGTTCACAAAAACCATAAAAAAATTCACTAAGTTTCAAGCTAATCAGCACAGCTACGTGTCTTTTTATTAAATCCACAAATTTCTCACTTTTTTCTTCTTTTTTCACAAGTTTTTTATTTTAAATATTTTTATTTCCTCAAAATTCACAATTTTGTCAAAGTTTTATCAACAATTTAGGGATAAAAGCTTGAAAATATCAAGCAAGTAAGCAACAGCATCTCCGAACTGATCAAAAGAGAACGAAGAACTGAGAATATTGAGATGCATAAGCTGTTGTTGTTGTGATTTTTGAGAGTTGAGACTTGTCAATGCTTCTTTTTGTTTACTCTCACATTTGTGCTTATCATTTGACTCGCGATTCTACTTCAACCTAACTTGACTCTCAAATTTTTACTAAATCAAAACAGCCAAAATCAGTCATTTGGCCTTGAGTTTTTAGAGGACTATCCTTTGTTTATTGTTTTGCTTACTTGATTGACTGACAGATGTTGTTTGGAACAAGTTTACAACACCGCCCTTGGATGGAATCCGCAAGGGAAAAGACGCAAGTAGTTCCAAAAGCTAGTCACAATTCGTGTGCGCAATATGCCGTAAGGAAGTCATCCAGATGCTAGTATATCCTTGTTTACCTAGCAAAGGAAGCATATTCTGCGCCAAAGACCTCAAAACTACACCCAACACACGAACTGAGCTTCCTTAACTAGAACGATGAAATGGAAAAAGAGCTTCGAAAATTAGACGTGACCTAGGATTAAACCCAGAACCTTTGGCAAGTATGGCCAACGCTCTACCATTTAGGCCACTGATGCCATTTCACCGCCAACAAACAAGTCGGTTAATCGATCAGAAATCCAACACCAAGCTGGCTTGACTTCGGTGTGACTTTGGCATGGTGATTGGTTATATTTGATTTGGATGCAGACCCTTGCCAGAGTCATGCCAGCTTGGTGCTGGATTTTCTATTCAATTAACCGACTTGTGACAAGACACACCTGCTATCGACCCTCTGGAATGATCCTTATTAGATTTAATCAAAGATTAATAAATTCAATAATAAAATAATTCATTAATTCGATAAATATTTTATTTTTATTGCAGCTTGTCTTCATAGCAGATGTAGCTATTAGCTATAATTTCAATAATAATTTCTAGATCCAAAAATCCAACCAAACCTAAACCCGATCATCAAACAAATTATTAAGCAGCGTCGATAAATGATGAGTTGTGTACTTGACATACTTTTCCCTATTCTTAGCGAACTCACAGTCAGAATACATGTCATAAAAGGCATTATAATGAGGAACAATAGCTTCAAGATTGTCCCTTTTTAGTCCTTCCCGCAGCAATAAATCAGGAATTGAAATTCCGCGCTGATTCTTGACACAATCGTCAAATTCCTTATTAAAGTTTGAAAACTTCTCCTTAACAACGGCTCGATCTTTATCCTTTAACTTTCCATTAACAGGACGTGGACAGTCCTCAAGTGGTGTGATGTGAATGAGAAGCTTCTGCCATGTTGCTTGATATGCCTGCTTTAAGTCATCAATCATCTTTAAATATCTCTTCTCGCAATCCACTTCCGTGAACTTGACAACATCCAGGAGGTTGTTCCTTTGTAGACTTTTCAGGATGTAGTAAATGTTGTTGAGCTTAAACAGCTGCTTAGTCGCGTCATTGTTGTAGATTTGATCAGCTTTTGTGATGATTGTAAAGTTCAGTTCCGTTAAGACTTTTCTGTAGTAAATGCCAATTAAGGCTCGATTCTTTTGGTCTTCCTGACTCAGCGACTTAATTGTTGATATTTGTTGCAGTGGCTGTGAATAGACAGTGTCCTGTCCTAGTATTGGTCCAACAATCTCATAATATGGAAACAGATGCTCAAGGAACCAAAGAGTATCGGATGTTAATTGATGGACAGTCGCATCCTTTGGAAAATTACTCGATCCAGTCAACTGCACTTGACTAAGTCCTTCATTCTTCACAGACTCAATGAATTGATCCAATGCAGCCTTTCCAGTCAAATGGAATCGATTCATGACACCACTGAGCTGATTCTTTTGTTCCTGATTGCAGATCTTCTCAATATCCGGTTGTAGGACTGTCACATGCTTCATAGCACTAAACACAGCTAATGCTGCTGACCATTCCTTCTTCTGGATCGATTTCATCACTCGGCTTGTTATTGATTCTGCATCCTTCACAATCATCTCAATACTGGCAGTTCCAACACGTGAAAATACATCATTTTGCTTCGATGGTGGAACTATGTCATTAAGGACCTGTCGCTCGACTACCAATAACTTCTGAAGTGCTAGAAGTAGAACCAAATACTTTTCTAGTTCCATGTCATTATTTTCGCCATACATGTCGTCGTTGAGGAAGTTGTCATTGCTGAGGTTCAATGACTTCTTCAACAGTCCACCGGATGCCTTTGTCAACATTTTGTTAGCCTTTCTCTCAAAAATACTTTGTAGCTTCTTCTTGCCGCTGTCTGACAGCCTTCCGAATGTCTTAATCTTCATTCCTGAATCATTGCCAAGACTTGATGACTTTTGATGATCCTTCAGCATTATTAAGGACCTGTAAATTATGTCTGACCTCTCATCACTGTAAATCACCATATATTCTCTGCGTAGATTCTCATCAAGCCACTCAGCAATTGTTCGGAGTTCCTTTCTTGTGTCTTGTGGGAATTGACGAATTGATGATGAGCCTGAGAACTCTTCATTTGTGGATGTTGATGTGTCATCCTCCATGTAGATTAAGTCGATGAGGTCGACTGGTTTGATTGGGGTGCTGTGACGACGGATGGATTGTTTGAAGTATGTATTCATTGCCTGGAATGGAAGTTTTGATTAATTTTCGGTATTGAAGTGAAGGTTTAGTCTAGAGCAGTGGTGCCAAACCTTTATTGTGCAACGTCACACATGGTTGTAAGGCATGAACGAAACCGCACGGTTCGTGGGATATCTCAAACTTTTTCACGGCACAGTCTAGAGTGCCGCGGCACATGGGTTGACCATCACTGGTCTAGAGGAAGTAGCTGATTAAGATTTAGGAATAATGTTGAGCTGACTGTAGACAATCAGTTCATGTAAAGCTATATTCGGTTTAACCTATCAGACATGCAGGTTAACCTAAGTGTTCATAGTTGGAATTGAGGGTGGTTGACGAAGGATTCTCTGATCGTTCAATCAAAGTCTACGCCTCCCTTTAGCTATGCCTTTGCCTTAAAACCATAGTATTCGAATGGTACAACTTAAGGTTACCCCAGAGGTTTAGTAAAGGGCACTCCAGACAAAATTCAGAGGCTATTGCTAAGTCCAGTGGTGGTCAACCTTTTCTGGGCCAGCACAGTTTGATGGCCATGACCGAAACTCCACAAGTCATACGGTTTTTGGGACTACTCGAGTTTTTCGTGGCACACTAGTGTTCCGCGGCACAAAGGTTGGTCATCACTGACTTATTTTATACGAATTAGGTATTTTGCCTTAGTGATTGCCTTAAACAATCACTTCTTGGACACTTAATGAGCCATATTATGTCCAATTTATGCTAATTTTAACAGAAACAAGGTCAAAACTGTCACATTCAATTTAAAGGAACTGATTAAAATGATTTTGGATCATCGTCAAACCATTTTAATCAGTTCCGCCCCTTTAGTCTCACTCTAAAGTACCAAAAAACATCAAATCTATCCCAAAACTTACATCACATCCATTATTAAACAGCAGCGTCACATTCTGTAGCTCAACACTTCCTTGATTCGTTGATATAAAATATTCCTTAGCTCTCTTCAACTTATTCAGCGCTTCCAAGAAGTATTCAACATTTTCAGAATCAATTCCCATGTTGATAAAGTTGGCAAGCTCCTGACTGCAGCTGTAATGCTCAAGAACACTGTCTAGCTTCTTAACAACAAGATCGAGATTCTTCTGTTGACATTCGAGTGACTTGGTGACTTTATAAAGCGGAAGGACATTCTCCTCAACTTTTAAGAGTCGACTTTCAAATGTTTTGAGGATTTTGCTTGCTTGATTTGTCAAATCGTTGTATTTGTTAAGGTTCTGCTCGAGCATTGCAATGTTGGTTCGCTCACGCTCGAGCTTTGCTTCGATTTGAAGTGTTGACAGTCCTTCTTCCATGTTTGTGGACTTGCGGAATGAAAATTGTGATTTTTGTTTGTTTTTATAAACTTTTTTGTAAATATTTTGAGAATTTTCGAAAATTCGGAAACTTTTTTTTCTGTACTAAAATTTTTTAAATTTAAATAATTTCGAATAACTGATTTTTTTGATGAAAACTGATTTTTTGGATTTTTCATTCATAATGTGATTTATTAAGCCTGAGACATTAAAATTTTAAATATTTTTTGGACAATCATTTACGATGAACCCCAAACTTTCTGTTCTATCCAGTTGATGTACTCTGAGACTCTTGTGTAGACACCAGGGGAGTTTTCTGAACCACAGAAGGTATTGCCGTAGCTTGTTATTCCAATTATGATGTATAAGCACTTGTTCTTTTCAGACACTATTTGAAGCGGACCTCCTGAATCTCCCTGAAAATGGAATAAATAAATGAATTTAAGTTTTCATGAGTTTAATGATTTGTAGAAGTAGAACTTACCCGGCATGTATCTTTTCCACCTGAAAAGATGAAACAACATAATTGGTATAGAAATTTAAACATTCATGACTATAAAGCAGTGATGGTCAACCTTTGTGCCGCGGTAAATTCGAAAAGTCCCACTAACGTGCGATTTCGGTCATGGCTTATCGTCGAGATAATCTGTGGCACAGAAAAGGTTGGACACTACTGCTCTGAAGGAACTCAATATTATAAAAGCTGGTTTTGGTACTCAGAGGTTGAGATCTGGTTAAACACACTTATCTAGGCCAGTACATAGGCTATAAAGGCTGATGCCCACACCAACTTTAGAAAAAGTTAAGCATTGTTTCTTTATTAAACAGATTGTCGACTTTAGGGAAGAATAGCCCTGGTAACATTAGAAACCGGTCCCTAAACCCTACATCTGGACCTAAAACCTAAGAAACCCTGCAAATTGACACTTATTGTTCAGATACGAAGCAGGACGAACCAATTTGCACATTTAATTCATTTATTCCTCACCTTTATCTTCTCCAGCACACAACTGAGTATTATCAACATTCTGATCATCAAGCATCCTCCTACATTCGCTATTACCGATGACACTAAGTTCAACTTTCTGTAAAACATCACTCGTCTCTCCAAAGTAAGCATTCGTCAATCCCCAGCCAGTTGCAATTACTTTGTCTTTGTAAACTCGCTCATTTGCATTCATCAGACATGCTGGCCGTATAAATCTAGATAGTTTGACCTTACTAGCTAGTTTCACAACTGCAATGTCATTTTTACTTATATTTGGATCGTAATTTTCATTAATTATGAATTCCTGAATTCTCACATCAACTTCCTTTGAATATTGTTCCTTAATCTTCAAATTCAAGACACCAAGTCGAACTAAAGTCGGTCTATCACGTCCACCACGCCTACAATGTGCAGCAGTCAGTACAAATTGATCAGAAATCAACGAACCGCCGCAGACGAATGTGAATGAATTTTCTAAGTTTTTATATCCAAGTGCAGCCATGTGAGGAAATTCAGCAAGTTTAGCATTTTCACCGCCGATGATTAAGCCTTGCGAGGTGTCACAGCTATCAGCTTGGATGTTTTGAATGATTGGATTTAAGGAGAGTGATCCAACTGGCACTGAAGTTTGTGAATTTTTCCAATATTCGTTGCACTTTCTTTCACTTATTCGGATGTTTTGGTTTAGTTGTGGATTAATTGGATTTCTGTTGGACACTGAAGGGTCTGATGGGAAGTTGAAGGTGGATTGTTGCTGTGGAAGGTAAGAGGAGCTGGATTGTGGACGATTTTGTTGATAACTATTTGAGAAACTTGGGATATTTTGCAGATTTTGTTGATAATTTTGCAGATTTTGCTGATGATTTTGCTGCAAATTTTGATTATTTTGACCAAACAGAAAAGGATTATTTAAGAATGGATTGAAAGCATTAATTTGTGAGTTTGTACATCCAACTAACAGCATAAAGATAGTAAAAACAAGCTTAAACACTTCAATTCTCTTCATTTCTGGATAAACTCAAATTTTTACAGCACCGATACAGCGACTTTACGTTCCTTGATCTTCCTTTGTTAAAACACTTCAGTCTACAATGAACATTCAACTTTGACTGAGTTGCTGTTGTCGTATTGACCATTAAATACATAATTATGTCATTTAGTTGCATTGTTCGGACTAGTTTGACGAGAAGTACAATTTTTACAAAGAAATAATTCAAGACCGGTTCCAAAAAAATACCAATCCAACAAAATCGTAATAGAAAAAATTTGATAAATTTAATTCGACTTTCTGTCGTAGACTGTGACAGGTAGCAGCTGTAGAAACTTACATTGAACCGAAAGAACATAATTGTGAATCCTAAAGGGCAAGTGAATGTTAAGACAAACTATGTCCATCATAATAACATCTTCTGTGGACGTGACCTGATACTTTTCAGGTCCATTCTAGCAATAATCCATTTTAAAGTAAATTTGTCGACGGAAAGAGAATTTCGCGCACGACAAAAGAATTCTTGGAAGGAAGCTGTTGGCAGAGATAGCATAGCATTTGGTATTGGCGATTGGCAAAGAGTATCCAACGACAGAGTCTTTTTTAGACGCAAACTAAGGAAGGCTATGGATCACAATTGATAGCCGATGTTTGTATGTATGCAAGAAGATCTTGTAGCTTTCGTTCCTTTTTCTCTCGCTATACTTCAAGTTCCTGATCCGTTCTTTAATCTAGAGATGCGCAAAAGCCCAATTATGGCTTGATCTCGTACATTAAGCAGTTGAAGTATCAGAGCTTCTGAAAATGAACAAATTTTGAAATGACCGGATTCGAACCGATGACTTTCGAGTTTTCACACCAAATTTGAGCCAAGCGCCTTACCTATTCGACCAGCATGGCACTTAACTGCTTACATAATGTCTAATTCAATTAGGAGTCGTTCACTTATGACGTCCATCAAAAAACCTGATTTTTAGACCCCCTCCCCCCCTCTGTCACAAAAATTCTATAGAAAAAAATTTCCACTGTTTGAACTGTCACAAAATCCTAGACCCCCTCTCCCCTAAATGTCGGACGTCATAAGTGAACGGCCCCTTATTAATAATAGTATAAACACATGGTTTGAAGACTTTTAACCACTCAATTGGCCGATAAATCGATAGTAATGGATCTAATAAAACAAACCCGAGTTCTCTACGATGTCTGGTTAAAAAGATTTTCTGGAGACGAACGAACGAACGAACGAACGATAGTATTGGATCTAATAAAACAAACCCTAGCTCTCTACGATGTCTGGTTAAAAATATTTTCTCGAGACGAACGAACGAACGAATGATCGAACGAACGAACGAACGAACGAACGAACGAACGAACGAACGAACGAACGAACGAACGAACGAACAAACGAACGAACGAATGAACGAATGAACGAATGAACGAACGAACGAATGAACGATAGTATTGGATCTAATAAAACAAACCCGAGCTCTCTACGATATCTGGTTTAAATGTTTTTCTTCGTCCGAGCAACCGAACAGCCAAACAAAGTGTATTATTAAGCTACCTTTTAGAAACAAGTTTCAAAAATGCGTTAAAAATGCGCGTCAGCCAACAAAAGAATTCAACAATATGCAGCAGTGTCTTTCCTACTTTCCATATCATTTGATATCACAAACATGAGAAATAAAAGCATAAACAATATAAAAAATTTATAGCGACTGATAAGATAAGAGATTATTTCAATTACTTGCAATTAAAAAGTTCTCTTCAGAATTTTTTTTTTAATTCAGTTCGATTCAGTCATTGCTGAGTATTTGTGAGGAACTGAAAGTTAATTTGCTGAGTTAAATAATTTATTACGCGATAATTTACGATTTTTGGTGCTTTGTGAAATTCTTTAAATTGAGTAAGGTTGGTTTTAAATAAGATTGACTTAATAGCTTGAATCAGAAGTAGGCCGTCCAGCTAGGCAATTATTGAAAGGGTCCGCTCTGCATTTTCCAACGATATTCCCCCGGAAATCCTTGATTTCCCGCTTTTTTGAACGGAATTTTCTTGAAAAATGCTTACAAATTTGGTCTGTTTCAGTTTTTCAGAGCTGAAATCGGCAACATGTCCCGCTTTATGACCAAGAAGGGCCCAAAAAACGATGGACAGCCAACTAAGAATTGATTTGAAGTCAGTTTGACTTTAGTCGATTTAACTTTTCAAAATCTCAGTCGACTCAACTCTCGGACTTCAAATAAGAATGTTTTCAGTGGTTTAGCTGTGAATGCTTCAAGTTTTGGGTCCAGGAGCGAAGTCAGGCTTGGGTTTTTGAGGTTTGAACGCCTAATTTGTTGAAAAGTGTCTCAAAATTGCTAGAATTTTTAAGAATTTTCAAACTTCACACCAAAAAAATTCCTAAAAATCCATGCCTCAAAAACTGTCTATCTGCGACCTTATCAAACCTCAATCTATCAGATTAAACCCTTCAATCAATGTAAATTCAAAAAAATTCCTTTTAATCTCCCTCAGAACCATGATTCTACCTCTTCTAACATCAATCCTCATCCTCGCCTCACCATTATCAGCCTTGAAGTGCGATTTTCACATTGATGGCTATAAAAATTATATTTGCGAGCTGTCGAACGCCACACCTAACGAACAAAGCTTTACTCACACAATTGATGGATATGACGACGCAAATGTGACAATAGTTTCATCAATTATTGACGAGAATTCAACTTTAGCTGTTCTTGATGACTTTTTGATGAGAAAATTTGAAAACTTGAGGAAAATTGAAATTTCGTTCTTTCATGTTAAGGAGGTTGCAGCAGGTGCCTTTGAAGTTTGTGATAACATTGAAGAAATATCATTGAATCGTAATGATTTGGAGGAACTGCCTGCTGGTGTGTTTAAGAGCTGCAAAAATTTAAAAATTCTCAAATTGGCTTCAAATAAATTCACAAGAATTCCTGTCGATAGTTTTGAAGGGCTTGATAGCCTGGAAGTTTTGAAAATTGACAACAATCCATTAATTGAGGTTATGTCTGATGACTTTAGGTATCTAACAGGTTTGAAGCAGATCTTCATTTCAGGAAGTGGGATTAAAAAATTTAATGACAGTAATTTGGGAAATTTGGAGGTTATGGACCTTAGAAGTAATGACTTAATGAGTTTTGAGGTTAGGAATGCTTTAAATCTTTGCAGTTTAAACTTATCAAGGAATTCACTGACGTCATTGAGGTTCTCGAGTGGCTCAAACTTAACAGAACTTGACATTTCTATGAATTCTTTATTCAACCTTCCTAGCAGCATTTTTAAAGAATTAAATAACCTCAAAATCCTAAAACTAAGCTGGAATCCACAAATATTTAAAAATACATCACATAGCATTTTCGAAGGTTTAGCAAACCTGGAAGTTTTGGAATTTAAATCATGCGGGATTACCGAAATTTCTGGATCTTCATTTTATTCGCTTGACAATCTACAAGAACTTGATTTAAGTCACAATAGCATCCAGGAGCTTCCTTACATCTTTTCATACAGAAATCTAGAAAATCTGAAAGTTTTGAAAATTGCCTCAAATTCTCTCAAAGGAATCAAGTCGACGACTTTCATGAAGCTGACTTCTTTGACAATTTTGGATTTAAGCCACAATTCGATCAAGAAAATTGGTAAAAATTCATTTAAATTCCTTGAAAATTTGGAAAAATTGAATCTTGGATCGAATAGAATTGAAGTTTTAGAGATCAACATGTTTCCAGGTGAAGGTTCGAAGCTAGTTGAGCTTGATGTGTCTTACAATTTGATTAAAGCTATTGAACCTGGATTTTTAACTCGAAATTTGAAGATTTTAGGTGCCGATAATCCTTGTGTTGACGAAAGTGCAGGAAATAGTTTGGATATCTGCTTTGGGAACTATGAGGAACTTAAAATTGAACCTACAACAACAACAACAGAAGCTACAACAGATGAAAAACTAGATTTTTCATTACAAGACTTACTAATCACATTGATTTGTATACTTTTTATAGCTATTGTGTTGATTTTTATTGCATTTTATATTAACGGAATATTGAATTTATTTGGTGTCTATGAGAAGCCTACAGTTAAGGATGACATTCCTAGTAGTGTGACTTATCAAAAATTCTAAGAGTTGTTGTTCAAATTTAATCAATTATTTATTGTACTTTTAAATTTTATCCTTAATAAATCTATTGAAATTAATTTAACGAGGATTTATTAATGACACAGATAAGGTCCTAAGGGTAAACAATTGATTCTAGGCTTGACTAGGCTTAAGACAGTGGTTGCCAACCTTTTTTATGAGACGGCACATCTTTATGAAAAACCATGACCACGACCGCACACAACACACGATTCGTGATCATTGATAATTTTTTTGGCCAAGATTTTTCAAGCACGGGGAGTGGGGGGGGGGGGGGGGGGAAGGTTAGGTGTGCAACAAAAATTTTTCAAAAATATTTGTAAAAAATTTCTCAAGGGAAATATCACGGGCACCCAAGGACCCCCCCTATTTGGCTACACCCCTGTCAATGGATTAAGATGAAAGTGGAAGAAGGCAACCATGTGAGACTGCACATTTCCTACGGTTCAGTAGATTTCTTGGATTTTTTCAACGCAGCACAAGGGTTGATCATCACTGATCCACAGATTAATGATAAATACTTCATTTTATCTTAGCTGAGGTAAAGATAATACCAAAAATCATAACTCAAGTTACTCATCTAAGCTAGAATGAAGGACTTATGATAAATCTTAAGATAAATACTTCATTCTAGTTATAATCAAGAATTTAACCTAAGGACCTCATGTGAGTCGCTCATGAATGCTCTACTTACCTTAAATCGTATGTTAAATACTCCATGCAATCCCTAGTCAGGTCCTATAGCTTAAATATCTCAAACTTTGATTAATCTTTCAGGATCGGTATAACAGTGCCTCCAGCTCATCGCACCACGTAGAAACACATCACCTGACTGGAACTCAACACTCAAAATTCCCATCAATTCTCCTTGAAAAATTCATTGAACCCTTTTCAACCTCATCTAAATTGTGCTTCATATCTACGTAGAAACCTAGCCATACCTCAGTAGCACAAAAATATTTACACAGCTGCCTATCCCCACACATCCACAAAAATTCCTTCAACTTCAAAATATCTTTTTTATCTCCAACTTCATCTTCGTCTTCATTTAAGTTCGACACTTTCTCAAGACAAGACATACAAAAATGAAGCTATTCATTATTATTTCTGTACTAATCTTTGGAGCCTTGGCACGTCCTCAAGATCCAGCTGCAGCACAAGCACCCCCAACAGCTCCTCCAGCTCAATCAGCTCAACAACCAGGACAGTTGAATCCATTAGGAAGTTTGGGATTGTCAACATTCGGTGGAGCTGCACAAGGTGGAAATATGCTTGGACAAGCTTTAGGCAATGTTGGAACTGGACTTGGACAAACTGCTGGAATTGCAGGAGGATCTGCTATTGGACTAGGAACTGGAATTTTTGATAGATTCATTCCAGCTAAATTGTTTGGATTTTAAAATATTTATTTGATTTTGTTTTTGGCTAATAAAATTGTGGAATGTTTGAAAACTGTTTTTTGATGGTTTTGAGGGAGGTTTAGGGCATGTTGTGCCTTAAGGCTGTCTACAGTCTTTCTTTATAATTCCACGAATTACAAATTAACATGTTTCATAGATTTTCTTTGTACTTACAGTTCATGAACGCAACAATAAACATTCAATAGAGTTTACTGGAAAATGACGAACATTCTCAAGGGCTGATCAAAAATGACGTTTAACATTTGTCAGGGTTGACGGTTTAAATAAAAAAAAAACTTTCGTTCATCCAAGTTTGAGGGGGGGGGGGGGGAGCTGAGGGTCTACAAATCTTAACTTTTTCAGACGTCATTTATGAAAAAACCCTTATATATAATTGGGAATTCACCCAAAACCATTCATTCACACCAAAAGTTCTCACACAAATTATGCTGCTAATCAAAAGAATCAACAGACTTAATATAAATATTCATAGGGGTCGTTCATTTATGACGTCCGAAATTAACGGTCATTTTTCAAAAAAGAACAATGGATTTTCAGGAATTTCTATTTTTCATTTCTTGCTGACCCCCCCCATTCCCCCTTTCCCCCTGGACGTCATAAGTGAACGGCCCCATATTATGAAATAAATTAATTTGTTGTTGTAATTTTTTTTTGGGTGCTGTAAAAAGTTAATTGATAAAAGAGCCACACGATCGGATGATTATCATAAAATGATCTTCATTCATGTCTTTAAATGCTAACAGGTGAGACGGTAATTTGAGATTGTTTAACGTATTTTGAGTTTGGAAGTGGTAAGAATGGGTTTGAAGATTTCATTTTGTCGGTCTGAGTTTTTGGTGTTGTAACTGATTTTCTAGGTTTTATCGACATATTTGAGAATTTGTGGACAAGTCAAGCAGACATTAAGGAGAAAAAAAAACTAAGGAGGATTCAACGGTGACTATAAAGAGCTCTGAAGAACTAAGAGAATCAAAAGGGAACCAAAAATATTTATGAAGAGACAAAATAGTTCACAAGTAGTCAGGAAAATTCAAATACGATGCTAAGTGAGTCTCAGGAGAACCATGAGCAAGTATGAGATCTTTTTTGGGCTTATATAGTCAAAGAAAGTTTAAGTTTGCTAAAGTTGCGACCAGAAAGGATCCGAAATATCAACAAATAAGGTAGATGGTTCAAGTTGAGTTTTTGGAAATTAAAAAGGCTTCAGAAGGCATAAGTAGGACTTAGAGAGGTTTTAGAAGACTTCAAGAGGGTTAAAAGAACTTCATGACGCTTTAGAAGGCTTTAATAGGAGTTCTAGAGGCTTCAGTAGGCATTTAAGAGGCTTCGGGATGCTTAAAGAAGCTCAAAGGAGCTTCAGAAGTTTTTTAAGAGCTTCGAGAGGGTTCAAGGGCCTTCAAAAGGCTTCAAGAGGGTTCAAAGAAATTCATGACAATTCAAGAGGCTTCAAAAGGCTTCACTCGGTCTTCCAGAGGCTTTACTTCATCTTCCAGAGGCTTCAAAAGACTTCGAGAGGCTTAAAGGAGCTTTGAGAGGGTTCAAGGGTCTTTAGCAGTCATCAATAGGCCTTCAAGAAGCTTCAGGGGACTTCAAAAGGCTTCAAAAATCTTCGTGAATCTAAAAAGAGCTTCAGGATGGTTTAAAGGACTTCAAGAGGATGTGAGAGGCTTTAGGAGGGTCTAGAAATCTTCAGAAAGCCCCCAAAAGACCCAAGTGAGTTCAAAAGGGTCTTATAGGTTATCAAATATCTACAAATGGCCTAGAAAATTTACAAAGGTGTAAAACGGTCCGAACTGACACTATTGTAGCTCATAGGCGCGCAGCTAGGAGGGGGGGGGATGATTTGAGAGACAAATCTAACTTCGTTTTTAGAAATTTCTTCATTTTGCTACAGTTTTTATGAAAAACTCAAAAAAATTCCCCCTCCCCTCCCTAAAAGTTTCCATACAAAAAAAATTGCCCCCCCCCACCCTCTTCAAATTTCAGGCTACGCCCCTGGTAGCTCACACCCTACCCTAGAAGCAAAATCAACTCATATCTAGTCCAATACCCATCTTAAATAACATCACAAGTATCAAATTCAAAATGCGCTCTATCCAAAAATACATCAAATCAACAACACTCCTTACTTGATTCCCTGTATCAATCAATTCAGGTTCTGAAATATTTAATCTTTCATTTCACACTCTCTACTTACATAACTTTTGATAAAAAAAAAGAATTGCTATAAAATCTTAAGCAGAATCATCGATGAAGATCAGTTTCAGTCTAAAATTCTAACACAGCTGTTCGAGTGAGTTTTAATTTGCATAAGAATATCGTGGTGCTTGCATAATTAAGTGAAAGTGGATCAGAACTGGTCAGAAACCGCATTTTTGGTTGCAGTATTAATATTATTTAAATTAGAATATTGCGATGAAGGCACAAAATAAGTCAAATGCCGTCCTAAAAGTTCTAATTTTGGCAATTTTGATGACAAACTTGGTATCATCACAACAACTTACTGGTACATCAACCAACAATTTGTTCAATGTGCTTCTTAGTTATCTTAATGAGCCAAATGCACAAGGAGGAATCAGAATTCAACGAATGTCATCAACAACGAAAGCTATAGAAGAAAAGGAATCAGCTGAAGCATCAACAATTCAACAGAGTAACTCAATTTATCAATTTCCAGTGATTAAAATTACTGATGCTAATTACACACAATTTGCCAATCAGCATGAGTGGATTTATGTCAAGTTCTTTACTGATTGGTGAGTATGCATTGAAGATGAAGCTTTGCTTGGAGATTAACTGGGTTCAAGAGGTTAAATTAAAATCAGTGGTTCTTAAACTTTATACCACGATACATTTGAGAACCAGCTAGCTTAAGAAACATTTTTTTACGCATTTTCCTTAGGAAAGAATGGGCTTTGGCTGGCTGGTTGGATGGTTGGCTGCCTTAAAAACTCGAAACTGGAAACACTTAGCGACTTGTAGTTTTTGCCAAATAATCTGGCAAATTAAAGAAATTGGTTTTTAAGAACATATGGTTTCCAGGGCTTTATAGTACAACCTACCCCAGTCACTGTCGTATTTTATTAATTCTTCATCCAGTGAATTGAACTAAACCCTAGATAAACCTAGAAACCGGTCCCTACAATGCAGTTATTAAAAAAATAATAAAATTTAATTAATTCCAATCCTTCTCAGGTGCCCACACAGCAAAAAAGTCATTCCAGCATGGCACGAAGTCTCTTATCGTCTCTCATCAACACCAATTGCTGTTGCTGAAATCCAATGTGAGGTTGACGATACATTGTTGTGTGAAAAATTCAAGGTTGTTGCATATCCGTCATTTAAATTGCTTAGAAAAGGTGTAATTAGACAAGCTTTGATTGGAGAGATTAAGGATGCCAGCAGACTTGTGAATGAAGCTTGGAAGGTTTATTTGAAGGAGGGCAGAAGTGGATAAATGGCAAGGGTGTGGATTTTTAATTCGAAGGGGTTTAAACCCTCAAAGGAGGTTCTTAAACTACTTTGACTACACTTTTTTCACTCTATTAAGTTGAATGTACGATTTTTTGATTAAATGCTAATAAAACTTGACTAAAGTCACACAATTTTTGTTCTAAAAATAGAAAAATGTTTAAAAATAATCAAAAAAGTTCTGATTTTGATGGTTTAAAGACTATAATTTACATAATTGTAAATGGTTATTGAAAAATTGACTTAAATTTATTCATTTTCAGACAATTCAGTGTTTGACTTTGTGCTATTAAGATCGACACAGCCTAACAGTTCAAAAGTAATTCAAACAAAACCTTAAAAAAAGTGATGAAATTTTTCCAAATATTTCTGACATTTCTCTTCGTAAAATCATCAACTTTGGTTCCAATCGAGAATTTAACAAAGACAGCAAATTTTATTCCATCTTTAAATTCAATTTTCTTCATGAAGTCTGAAGCTAGTAAAGTTGAGGTTGAAGTGACTGAAATTCCAGTTGATGAAGAGTCAGTTTGGGATAAAGTTGTGAAAGATTTTGGAAAACTAGCAAGTGGAGCTGCTGACTTGGCAAATGATTTTAAGGAATTTTCGTCGGTTGTGATGAAAAAGTGAAAAAGATGGCTGGAGTTGATCAACTTAGGTTATATTGACTAGGTTTTGAGTCTGTTAAAAGTTGAAAATCAACTAGTCGACTAAGAATTTTGGTAAAAGTTAAAAAATCACTTTTCGGAAAATTAATTTAAAAATGATTTTTTAAATGAAATATTTTCAAAAATTACTTTATTATTTTTTTAAAAATTCAAAACAATAATTTTTATAAATTGAGAAAAAAAAATAATTTTTTTTCAAAAAAAAATCAACCTTAAAATTTGTCAAAAAGTTTAATTTTTTAAAAACAATTTTTGTCAAAAAGTTTAATTTAAAACAAAATTTAAAATTTGAAAAATTTTGCGAATTGAATAAAAATAAACACAAAATTTAAAACTACTTTTTTAAAAATTCAATTTTTATTTTGTTTCATTTATTTGACAATCGGATTTTAGTTTTATGGATTTTAATAAGTTTTATAAGTTTTTTGATTTAATTTCATTTCAATTTTCTGTTTTTTAATTAACAATGATTTCAAAAATATTAAGAATTGTTAAAATTATTTGTGTGAATTTGAAACATTAAATTTAAAATTTCATTCGGAATCAGATTTCAAAAATTAAAAGTTTCTCAACAATTTTTTATGATTTTTGTCAATTTTTAGGTTAAAGCTAGTTTCATGTTTTATTGTTTAATATCCTTTTCCACCTTTGCCTCCTTTACCACCTCCCTGATTGCCTCTAGAGCTACCCACACCCCCTCCATACCCTCCTTGATTGCCCTCATAGCCTCCTTGACTTCCTTGACTTCCTCCGTATCCTTCTCGGTTACCATTTTGACTATTTTGACTTTTACTTCCACCATTAATCTTTCCAGCTTTATTTCCTCCTTGTTGATATCCGCCATTTTGATTTCCATAGCCTCCATTTTGTCCAGCTTGATTTCCATAGCCCATGTTCTGACCAAATTGTCCATTATTTGGATTATTTTGACCTCCATTTTGACTTAGTTGACTCCCAAAACCTCCATTTTGATTATTTTGACCTCCGTATCCTCCATTTTGACTAGTTTGTCCTGAGTATTGACCACCCTGTACTGCAGCTTGACTTTGTTGAACAGGTTGACTGTATTGTTCACCATTTTGTCCAGACTGAGCTCCATATCCACCATATTGAGTGTTCTGTCCATAGTTCTGACTATTACTACCGAATAAGCCACCATTTTGATTACCAAAGCTACTAGCTTGACTATTTTGTCCATTTGATCCAGAACCTTGACCGAACCTCTACCAAACATACCACTTCCATAACCTTGATTCTGTGAATTATATCCACCATTTTGATTATTTTGACCATAACCTCCATTTTGTGTTCCATATCCGCCATTTTGTGCTTGATTTTGATAGCCTTGCTGGCTATATCCATTATTTTGACCAAAACCTCCACCTCCAAACATGCCATTCCTGTTGTATCCACTATTTTGTCCATTATATCCAGCATTATTCTGTCCATAACCTGAATTGTTATTATCCATAGCTCCACTATTTGGTCCACCACTCATTGGTCCATTTTGAGGGGTACTTCCGGGTCCTTGAAAGCCAGTTCCATTACTTGGAGCTATACCATTACCAGGAGGTGGCATTCCATTAACAGGAGGTGGCATACCATTGCCGTTAAGGACATTAGGATCACCATTTTGGAAGCTCAAAGTGTCATTATTGGCAGTGACGCACAAGGCTGAAAACCATACCAAAGCTAAAATAAGCAAAAGTTTCCGTAATTCAGTTCCAGACTTCATTTTATTAGTTTTAAGTTAAACTTCACACTTATAATAGCTTTAGTTTTACTACTGCTTATATAGTCACTACTAAGCTTAGTGTTATGGATGAATGAGTAATAATTGATGGTGTCTTGTGAATTCAACTGTGACATTGAGGGTGTATTGTGCTTAATAAATTGTCAGTTATGAATAAAGTTGTGGGATTTTCCAGGAATTATAAAAGGTGTGTCTAGGTCAGTGGTTCTCAACCTTTGTGCCGAGATATTTTTTATGATAATTTAAAGTTTTTGATTTAAAATGTTGGAACTTTAAAAAGTAACGCAGACGAAAAAGTTTGAGAAACCCTGGTTAAAAAAACATGTGCAGGGGTGCAGCTAGAAACTATTTGTGAAGGAAAGTGATGAGGGGGGAGAGGGGGAGGAGGGGGTATCAAAATTAGGATGTAAGGAATTTGGGATTGGCATGCTTATGGTTTTGAAGAAAACTGGTATCACGGAACATAGTTCATAACAGTGCTTCTCAAACTTTGTTCCGCGGTACTTTACTGTTTCATGAAAAAATGTTCCAGATGTGTCAATAGTGGTTGCCAGCGTGGCACGAAAACATAAGCAACATGTTTGCTCCGTGCATTAACTGCTCCGATGCCTAGAAAGTTTGAGAAACACTGACTTTAAGAAGTATTGTTCAAGACGATGAGAAAAGTTGACTTCGACTGTTCTTGTTAAAGACTGTAACACAGCTTGCTTTCAAGATTAAGATAAGTAGAGGCTTGGCTTTTTAGGGGTGCATTGGGTTAACCTATACTGAAATCAAGCCGAATACCAAGCTTTGAACAGCTGTAAAAGAATGAGAAGGTTGAGTTAATATGAAAGTTCGAATAAAATAAGTTTAAGCACCAACAAATGAGTGAAAATACAAAATATAGTTCGGTAAAAAAAGAGTCATAACAGAAAGACTTTTATTTCGATATTTTAACATCCAAATAGTTCAGGAGATTAATTTTGATTTCTACCAGAAAGCCTATTGTCTTAGTATTGTTGCTGTAAATGAGAAGGTTGAGAAGTTAAAGTTTTGTAGAAAGAAGGTCTTCACAGGAGGGGATCTCCATCTTTAATAATCATAAGCATTTCCAGTTCCACCACCATAATTGTTGTATCCATTATTTGTGTTCTGATATCCATTATTACTGCTGTATCCATTGCCATATCCATTACTCTGCTGCTGATTATAACCACCTCGATACATTCCACTCATCATGCCACTTCCTTGATTGTTATTTCCATAGCCTTGCTGTCCACTGCCCATAAATCCACCACCATTAGAGCCTGCATAACCTTGTTGACTTCCATATCCACTCGACATGAATCCACCTTGTCCATTATTGCTGCTATACTGCTGTGCATATCCATTAGAATTACTGCCAAATCCAGACATGAATCCACCTCCTTGGCTGTAAGCATTTTGATTCTGTTGTCTTTGTTGGTATTGATTCTGATTCCTTGACTTCTGTTGCTGTTGTGGATACTTTTTACCTTTTTGTGGATATCTTCCATTGCTCTTCTGCTGGCTGTTTTGATTATATTGCTGTGGACTTCCGAACAGACCTCCACTTTGCTGCTGGTATGGATTGCTATTGTACTGTTGTGGACTTCCAAATAAACCGCCATTATTTTGATAACTATTGGATGGCTGATATCCATAATCATTTTGATAGCCGTACTGATTCTGTACTTGATTGTTGCCATAATCATTGTATCCTTGATTGTAATTATTTTGAGGATATCCATTGCTGCTTTGCTGACTTTGAGGATATCCATTGCTGCTTGGTTGATTTTGAGGAGATTGAACTCCTGTTGGTGACTGTGGTGGTCCTTGAGGTGCTTGCATGTTTGGCTGACTCGGTGGTCCTTGCATACCTGAAGGAGCTTGCATCGATTGATCTTGAGGGCTCTGTGGAGGCTGCTGCATTTGCTGGAGTGATGGATCTTGTGACTGACTTTGCTGATAATTTGGATCAGCGTTTCCCATGTTGTTGTTGTTGTAGCCATTACCACCATTATTACTGTCATTTGATCCACCATTTCCATGTCCACCTCCTCCATGTCCCCCACCATTTCCATGATCTGCAACGCTTACAGCAACAAAGAAAGTTGCAATAAAAATTATGGATATTTTATATGGCTTCATTGCTTTACTTTTGAAGGTTTTCAATGAAATATAAATTGATGTAAGGCAGTTTCCCAGCTTATATAGTCAGTCAAACACGAGACCAATGTCATGAACAGACGGAAGTAATTGATGCTTAATAATGGTAATTTTAGAATTTATAGGTGTGGATTTGTAGGCGTGAGAATGAAGGCGTTGTTAAAATTGTTGCATTGGAATTTCCCAAAATATTTTAATGACATTTTGAGGTTAAAAGATGTTCGGAGAGGTGGATTTTGATAGGTTAGGTATAGGTTAGGTATAGGTTAGGTATAGGTTAGGTATAGGTTAGGTATAGGTTAGGTATAGGTTAGGTATAGGTTAGGTATAGGTTAGGTATAGGTTAGGTATAGGTTAGGTATAGGTTAGGTATAGGTTAGGTATAGGTTAGGTATAGGTTAGGTATAGGTTAGGTATAGGTTAGGTATAGGTTAGGTATAGGTTAGGTATAGGTTAGGTATAGATTAGGTATAGGTTAGGTATAGGTTAGGTATAGATTAGGTATAGGTTAGGTATAGGTTAGGTATAGGTTAGGTATAGGTTAGGTATAGGTTAGGTATAGGTTAGGTATAGGTTAGGTATAGGTTAGGTATAGGTTAGGTATAGGTTAGGTATAGGTTAGGTATAGGTTAGGTATAGGTTAGGTATAGGTTAGGTATAGGTTAGGTATAGGTTAGGTATAGGTTAGGTATAGGCTAGGTAGCAAAGAAGCTGCACCTTTTTGTTAGTCTTAAAATGACAAATCAACACAAGGGGGACAATAACATAATGGCAAAAAATAAAATTTCCAATCAAATTTTTCCCGATCATGTTGTTATCCCCTTGATTCAATCTAAATCTAATTTCATGTTTTTATTTTTTTTATTAATTCTAGATCAGTTAAGACTTACAAATCTACAAAAAATATCAAATTAGCTTTTTAATATAAAGCACAGCATCATGAACGGTTGGAAATATTTCAAACTCAATCTCGCCTAAACCAACAGCTTTATTAATTGAATCATAGACAACATCACTCGTGACAGCTAAGAATACTTGCAGCTGCATAAGCTTCAATTCCTTTTTGATTTCTGCAAGCTTTTTGTAGCCTTTAATGTCAACATGGGATACACCTTGAAGGTCGACAACCACAAATTCCATGCCATTGTTATGTTCCTTGATCTTTTCTAGCGTACATGTTGCTGCATTTCTAATGCATCGAAGGTCAATTCCGAGATTGCTGTACAAATCTTGTTTAAATCCTGAGCAGGTCGCAAAGTTAATAGAACCAAAAAATCTGAAAATTTTGATCTTTTGGTCTTGAAGGACATTTTTGTGGATTTTCGTGTCAACATAAATATCAGTTCCTGGAACTTGACCTAAATTACAAGAGTAGCTTTTAAATCCTTTCATATAAAACACAAAAACTGAGACAATGAAGCCGATAAGCAGCCCCATGTCAATTTCAATCAGCACAACAGCTAAGAATGTTACAATCCACACAAGGGCATCAAGATTGCTTTCTGTGTAATATCTTCGGACGTCTTTAAACTGCCAAATCATTCCTTTTAGTGAAACGACGATGATACCGGATAGAACTGCTCGTGGGAGTGTCTCAAAGAGCGGTCCTAGCCATAGAAGTACTAGAAATAAAATGATAAAATTATTCAGCATCAGCAACTGCGAACCATCCAAAACTTACATGTTAATATTAACGTAGCCGATATCACAGACACGACCTGCGTCTTTCCACCAGTTTGATGCTGTATAATGGACCTAGATAAGGCACAACTCAATGGAATACAAGAGAAGCAGCTTCCAACAATGTTACTAAATCCAACTGCCAACAGTTCCTGATTAGCTCGAACTTCATATTTATCCTTTTGTGCAAACAGCAATGCCATGCTGATCATAATTGAGTAAGTGACGATAGCTGTAGCTAAGGAATCGACTGCGACTAGTTGAACAATTTTCATTGATGGGAACTCAAATGGCGGTAAGCCACGTGGAATTTGTCCAACAATAGCAACTCCATGTCTTGGTCCAAGTTCCATAAAATATGATATTAATGTGAATCCAACAACTGTCATTAGCTCGGCTGGAATTGGAAATCTGCACTTTTTTGAGACAATTGGTTTGACGACTTCGTTCATTAATATCATGAAGCTGATGCAGCCAATGGAGACGTAAAGAGTTGGAAGATGAGTGTTTGGTATCTGCCAGATTGTGTGCCATAAAGGAGTGATGACTCCTGTGCTTCTTGGTATTTTAACTCCCAACAAGTCTCTCATTTGAATGACAATGACTTGAATAGCTGGAAAAAGAGAACAAAATATTTAAAATTTGTTTAAGTTCCTCAAAAAATCATCGAATTTTACCTGCGCCAGTAGTAAATCCACTAATCAGCGCTTCCGACAATAAAGCTGCAGCAGTTCCCATCCTCAATACAAACATAATTAATTGTATAAATGCACAAGACAGTGTCACAGCTGTAGCAACTTGATAATTACTAAAACTCGGATCAAGCCGATCAGGATGAGTTGGATCTCCATAATTTGGATCTGAATATTTAATCACTATTGTTGCAACCATAACAGATGCAATTGAGAATGTTCCAGTGCTGACATGTCGAGATGTTCCAAATACAAAGTACACAAGTGTTGGGAAGAAAGCCATGTAGAGACCGACAATTGGATCCAATCCAGCTAGTAAGCCGTAAGCCATGCCTTGTGGGATGTGAAGAACAGCTACTGTAAATCCAGATACTAAGTCACCTGGAAGGTATTCTTTTAGTCGATATCTAGGAAGCCATCCAAAGACTGGAATAATGCTGTAGATTACTGAGAAGAATGTGAGGGATTTGAAGCCGGCTTTGACTTTTGTGAGAACTGTGAAGTAGAGAAGGAAAATTATTTTAAATTTAATCGTATTTTGAAAAATTAAAAATCAAGAACCAAGAACCAAGAACCAAGAACTAGGAACCAAGAACCAAGAACCAAAAACCAAGAACCAAAAACCAAGAACCAAAAACCAAGAACCAAGAACCAAGAACCAAAAACCAAGAACCAAAAACCAAGAACCAAGAACCAAGAACCAAGAACCAAGAACCAAAAACCAAGAACCAAGAACCAAAAACCAAGAATCAAGAACCAAGAACCAAGATCCAAGAACCAAAAACCAAGAACCAAGAACCAAGGACCAAAAACCAAGAACCGAGAACCAAGAATCAAGAACCAAAAACCAAGAACCAAGAACCAAGAACCAGGAACCAAGAACCAATAACCAAGAACCAAGAACCAAGAACCAAGAATCAAGAACCAAGAACCAAGAACCAGAACCAAAAACCGAGAACCAAGAACCAAGAACCAAGAACCGAGAACCAAGAACCAAGAATCAAGAATCAAGAAACAAGAACCAAGAACCAAGAACCAAAAACCACGAACCAAGAACCAAGAACCAAGAACCAAGAACCAAGAACCAAGAACCAAGAAAAAAGAAACAAGAACCAAGAACTAAGAAACAAAAACCAAGAACCAAGAATAGAGAACCAAGAACCAAGAACCAAGAACCAAGATTCAAGATTCAAGAACCAAGAACCAAGAAACAAGAACCAAGAACCAAGAATCATGAACCAAAAACCAAGAACCAAGAACCAAGAACCAAAAGATTTAAATTTACAATATCAACAACCCCTCAAACTCAATTTTCTGCAAAATCATTGTGAAGACATAAATTATCAAAAAATATCTTCAACTCAATTAAAAGCTTGGCACTTAACGATAAGACTAAGGTGAAGTGTTGACATGTGGCTTAAATTATCTTTAGTTCACCTTTTAACTTATCAAATGATAAGATTTTTTTTCTATATTTTTTTACGCATGGAACTAAGTCACCAGAAATGATTTATTAAGTTTTCTGTTGGAGGTTACTATATCTTTGCTGATAATGTTAGGATTAGGTGAAGTTTAAAGTTTAGTAATCAAGGTCGTGATTTGATAGTTTTTTGATCAAAAGGGGTTAGTCTGGATTGAATTGGAATTAAAATTATTTAATATTGGATAAGGTTGTCTTAATTGGAGCTAGATTGTACCAAAGATCAGGCAAAAGGCCATGAGGGACCATTGAGCTGTGCTCTCGCTGCGATTCAAAACGCTTTAGATGGGGCAAGAATATCCTGGATACGCGTCACCCAAAGATCCAAAATCAACCAAAATTCAACTCACTTCCATCCTTCTCTCGATAATATCCCGAAATATTCTCCAACTCATTCTGCTTAATTACACTACGATTAACTGAATATGGAATAGCTGCTGGTATTGTTGAGATTTTGCCATTTGACTCCACATTATCAATAGTCACTGAATCGTTCTCCATCACACTTTAACATGCACTGTCTTAACTTCGTTCTTATTTTTCCACAAGTTTCTTTGTTTTTTATCAGTCAAAGTTTCGAATTTTTTTTTATTTATTTTGGTAAACACTTCAAAAATTGTGGTTTGAATGATAAAGGCACAGACTGAGTTTAGTTTAGCATTGTTTCTATTAAACTGAATCTGTGATGTAACAATTTAATTTAAATTAATTGAGATTGAAGCTATAAATTCTTTATATGTGTGGTTTTTAATTGCAATCAATTTAATTCAATGGGCGGATACAAAAAAATAAATCAACAAAAAGAGTTCAATGACTTTATTTTCAATTAATTATGGTCAAAAAAAATTAATTTTTTTATTAAGACCTTCTTCGTCTAAGGATCAACTTGACACTGAAATTTAAAGTTATTTTCACAACCTTTTGTGCCTATTGCGAGTGATAAAGAGCATAAAAAATATTTATTTATATCTCGATGAACTTTTGTCCCAATCCACATTAATTATGGCCTTTGCAAAGATTAGATAAGAAGTCAGTCAATTAGCTGAGCAGTTGTTAGATCTTCAAACCCGAACAGCACAAATCGGTTAATCGAACAGAAATCCGGTGCCAAGCAAACATCACTTTGGTATGGTGTTGGCTTAAAACACCATGCCAGAGGCACACTGGATTTGTGCCGGGTTTCTGTTCGATTAACCGACTTGTGCCGTTAGGGAAAGTTCTGTGATTTGAGCTATGCTTAGCCAAGCTTAGACCAGCGCGAACATTTCTATAATTTCTACCTCAAATCAATTCATCCTCACCTAAGTCCACCTCCAACCCAAACTGACTTAAATTCCAACAATCTCTTCCGAATAATGACTTAAGATCAAAAGTCACAAAAATACAATTTTATTGCAAACAGACGCGGCATTGTTAATGTTTACAACATCCTCAAAATCGTCTGGTAATCAAAATAATCACTGATTAATGCATTATCAGTCTGGGAGTAAAGCCATTGAATTAATTGCAAATAATAAAGACACAAAAGCTCTTTAAAAGGCTGTCCAACTGCGCTTTTTTGTGCAGGATAGCCCCGCTTTCTTCCTCAATACCAAAAAGTTTTTAATCAACAAACAATTTAAATTTACGATTAATTTTAGACTTCATGAGCTTCACTTCATCGTATTTCGGCACTTACAACAATACTGAAAACTGAAATTCTCTTTTTTTTTGATCTACCTTATCAGTTTATAGCTTAGGTTTTATTAGAATGATAAGAAAAATATTTGTTTGTATTTACAGACTTTGAGAGCGAGCGAATAAGATGACGTAAAAAAGTGGGAATCCTTGAATCAAGCTTGAATTTGCATCTATCTTCATTTGATTTATGATTTTTTTTGATGGGCAACTGAAGTAGATTTTCTAGAGATGACAGTGAATTTAAAGACATTACTACTAGCAGGTGCTTGATGGATTTTTGATTCTTCTATGGTGCATTAAGATTCGATAGTTGTCGACAATATTATCTCGAATGGCACTAGTCGGTTAATTGAATTGAAATCTGGAGCCTAGCCAGTGTGTTCTTTCATGCTTCTAGACGTAAATCAAACCCAGTACCATGCCAGTGCCACACAAGCTTGGGCCGGATTCCTATTCGATCAACAAACTTGTGCTATTCGGGTATCAGGGGCGTATCCACGAATTTTAAGAGGGGGGGGGGCAAATTTTTTTTTTGTATTGAAAACTTTTAAGGGGGGATTTTTTTGGGGGAGGGGGAGGGATTTTTGGGGGGGGGGGGATTTTTTTGGAGGGGGGGGCGTGGATTTTGGGGGGGAATTTTTCAAATTTTTCATAAAAAACTAGCAAAATTAAGAAATTTCTCAAGACGAAGCAGAGTTCCCCCCCCCCCAAAATCCACCCCCTGGCTATGCACTTGTCGGGTACAGAACATCTAAATACAATAAATCAGAGAAGACATTTTTTAAGTATCAGCTGCTTGAATGATACATAAAGCATACACAACACAGTAAAGTTCTTCTTTGTATTGATTTGTTTCCTACATTTAAACAAATGTGTAGCTTAAAGCACGTGGCTTCTACTACAAAACAATCATTATAAATGAAATTAATACAATACATGTTAAGGACAATACATTTGAAGTTCAGAAAGTAAATAATTCATTGGATGTCTTATCTTTGGGAATGAAAACAATGAACTGGCTAGTGTGGATTATTGATGAATCCATTTAATGCCTTTAAGTTGGAACAGAGTGGAATTTGAGCTATTAATTTATTTGATGACCAGATTTAAGGTTGAGAGTTTCTTCAAAAGAGTAGATTGCAATAATTTTTCCAGCCATTTTTGGGTTATGATGACTAGGCTGCATGGAGGTCTGTTAATCTGCTAACATCGTTACAGATTGTTTTGGAGCAGAGTGGAATCTGGGATATCGAGGTGAATCTGCCTGTGCGAGAGCTAAGCCTCTGTGGTTCCAGTCGTTAACCAACAGACCGGATATCCTTAACCCTCTATTGTGAGGACGGTTCGATTCGTACTAGAAACTGATCTCTCAATTATTATACAGGATTCGAACAATGCCCACGATAATACGTAGAAGAAACGAAGAGACCAATGTAAAAGCACTTGATTTATTGCAGCTGGTAAACTGTGTATTGGAATCAGCGTGATGAGAGAGAACCGGTTGCTTTCGAGAGACAATTGTTACAAGTCTTGGTATCACGATTAAGTCCGTTGCTCTCTTACTAGTGATTTAACTTGAGCTTTTACCATTCGGGGTAGTATCAACAATTTAGCACATCCTGGCACGGTCTGCAACAAACACCTTCTTTTGCTAGGTATGAATTTTTTATCAATATTTAATTAAAGTCAGTGTCTTTCAAATGCCCGATAGAGTTGCAATTTGTCGCAGGCAATCACCTGTCACTTACCGGTTAACAGGCAGTTCCTGTGACAGGCACAGATCTATAACGTGTATCTGTGACAGGCGACCTATTTCGCGACTCTGGTTGAAATAAACTTACTATAAATTGTGCAGCTCACAATTTAGACACAGCATCTATAGCCAAAAATGATATCAAATCGACAAACTTTGCCTGTAAATCAACAAATTGAAAACTTCATAATTATTTATTACACATTAACAGTAATTTTATTATTTCTATTTCTTAATTTACGAACTATAAGATAAAGCACAACAAGAACAACGAAAGCACCACCAGCTGATCCTAATCCAACCCAAACCCAAGTCAAATATTCATTTTCACCAAGCTTAACAGCTCCATTGTAAGAATAGCATGGATATAACATATCATTAACTGCTTTATCCTCAAACTTAATTGGTTCCTCAAAAGCTATCAAATATCCATCAATGCAGACATTATTCTCAGCATGGAAATACTCAATGTTTGGGAATGACTCGAAGAATTTAGAATTAATTGACTGAATCTCGTTGTTATCGACTGTGAGGACAAGCAGGCTGTCATGATGTCCAAATGGCTCTGGCTGCAGTGTCTTAAGATTATTATCGTCTAAATAAAGAAATTTGAGATTTTCCAGCGCTGTAAAGACTTTCTCAGGCAGCTCATCGATGTTGTTTCTTGATAAATCTAAAGTTTGAAGTCCCGTCAAGTTGCCAAACCACTCAGCCTTCAACTCATTAATCAAATTGATCCTCAAATCTAAAATCTCCAAATTCTTTAAATTATCAAATAAATTCATAGGAATCATCGACTCAGCGAGTGAATTTCCCATCAGATTAAGCTCAACGAGGCTTGTTAAGTCATTAAATGCAGCACTATCGAAGCCATTAATCTCATTCTCACCTAAATTTAGACTTGTTAATCTTATCAGACCCTTAAAATAGCTATCAGTCACTGTCATAATTTGATTGCCGGATAAATCGAGATTTTTTAAGCTGCTTTCGAGACCGAAGAAAGTGTCGGGAAAGAGGACCGTCAGTTGTGCCTTAATCGTCAGTTCTGATAATTTTTGGCAATTTTTGAATAATTTTTCAGGTACAACTTGAAGTTCCGGGTCCTCAATGATGAAAATCTTCAATTCTAGGCACGATTCAAAAGCATTTGGCAATATTTCCTTAATTTCTGAGTCAATTGATGAAAACTCTTCAATATTCACAAACTTATCAAAGATTGTTGGCTGAAGATAATGAATGATTGATTTGGTAATGAAGACTTTCTTGACGTCACTATCGCCATACCCCTGCACGTGCTCACCATCGATTTCTAATTCGGTGTCGTCAGTGAGGACGGTTGCATTTTTAAGATAGCAACGATAGATGCCTTTGAGGACTTCGTACTCACATTCTGCTGACTTTGTGGTTTGGATGGTGGTTAGTGCCAAAATAATGGAGATTATCAGTCTAAAATGGATTGGAAATGGTTTTAATTAAGGTTGAGTGGATGGACAAAGTCATTAATAATCAGATAAGTTCCCCCCTACCCCCCCTCCCCTCCTCATCCCCTCCCCTTCTCATCCCCTCCCCTCCTCAACCTCACCTCTTCTCATTCCCTCCCCTCCCCCTCCCCCTCCCCTCCCCCTCCTTCCACCGAACCCTTCTATCATCTTGAGCAGACAACTTTGGCTTTCTTCTGGTTCGCTTAAGGTACCAGCAACACTAAGGTATTAAAACCTATCTCTGAGGTTAGTAAGACTTCTAAAAAAACCAACCAAGAACTAGAAGCTTGATGTGGCTCTAGCTCAAATCAAAATCAAACTTAAATATGACACTAAGTGAATCCAAGGATGCGGAACAGATCAAATAGATCAAAATTTGATCAAAATCTAATTTATCAGTTCTGCAGCCTTGAGTGAATCATCGAGCCATCTATAACAGTGCTGATCAACCTATGTGCTGTGGAAAAATTCAACAAATCCCCCAGGAACCGTGTTTCGTGTACGGTTTTGAATATCGCTTCCCACAAAGCTGAGTCGTAGCACAAAGGTTGCCAGCCACTGATAAAGATAAAGTTCTAACCGAAACCAGATCAACTCAATGTTTTTATGAGTCAGAAAAAAATTTCAATTGACTGCAAACTCATTCAAGCAATAAACTACGTTTTAAGATTATCTTAATTGATTTTTTGGTATTTTTGGAAACCCAATTTAAAGTTGTAAAATTGTTTAAATTGCACGAATAAAATTCAAGTGCCATAAATTACGACTAAAATTGGATTTTTTTAAAATATTTCCGTGTTTATTTTGGGAGCTAACCTTAAATGGATGAAAACTACAGTTCTAAGATAGCCAGGTCTAATAAAGCTTTACGCTAGGCCTTAAAGGTTGGTTTTTAAGGCGTACTGGAGCTACTATAACGTATTTTAGTCACAACAAGGGAGAGGAACTGATCTAAACTGTGCGAAACGATCAAAATGATCAGTTTATCAGTTTCAAATCCTTTAGTATCGAAACTGTGTGCCGCGTCACACTGGTGTGCCGTAGAATTTTTTTGTAAATCACGCGAGACGCATCCTGTGGTGCGACTTTGGTAATGGCTTACCCCTAAGGTGTACCGTGGCACAAAAAAGTTTGGACAACACTGCTCTAGTTTATCAAGTTATGAACGAGAATCTAAGTACACATCCACGCCTCTCTATACATCAACTCTAATGTTCTTAAACTTTGCTCTTGATCAGCGTCTTGCTTACTTTTCAGTCCGCAGAGAATTAATTCATCCGTTAATGTTTCTGCAGCTCGTTGGCTCAGAGCTTGAAGTCGATACGGTTTAAGTCGACTTGATTTTGAACTTACAACTAGAAACAGAAATGATCCGTGGAACATAGTTTGAGAAACACTGCTCTTGACACTTAGTGCCGTACCAAACGTTTTGGAAGCTTGGATCAAATCAAAGTTTTTCGGCATTCTGTGTGAGATTTTTGGTGATTTAGTCAAGGTCACGGTTGCCCACTCCCCTGATAAGGTCAATTGTATTACTAAGGCTCAAGCGCGTAGCCAGAAGATGGATTTGGGGTACAAATCCCCCTTCTTCTTGAGAAATTTCTTCATTTTGCTAGAGTTTTTATGAAAAACTCGAAAAATCCTCCCCCCCCCCCCCCCTTAAAAGTTTTCCATACAAAAAAAAATTCAAATCTCTGGCTACGCCCCTGCTTAGGTTGTCAGGTTTTTCACGAGATGTTTAAGTGCCTTGGTGAGTTCTTTTTAAACAAAATTTAACTTTATCACGGTTTAATAACTCTGAGAACCACTGATTTATTGTACATTCATAGCTTTTTCTTAAGGGGGGAGGGGGAAGGAGAGGGGGAGGGGGGAGGGGGAGGAGAGGGGGAGGGGGGAGGAGGGAGGTGGGAGGGGGAGGAGGGAGGTGGGAGGGGGGAGGAGGGAGGTGGGAGGGGGGAGGAGGGAGGGGGGGAGGAGGAGAGGGGGAAGGGTTGATAGTGTTGCTGTTGCTCCAGAAGCTAACCTATAAAGTCAATTTTTGTCATGTTTTTGCAAAGCAAACCATTCAAGTAAGTTGCTTAATTGTCTTCCTATATTACATAATCCAATTTATTGTCAAAAAACAAAACAGGACTGAGAGGTAACCCGAATTGCACAAGTCGCTTAATCGAATAGAAATCTGGTACCCAGCCGGAGCTAGCATGGTGCTAGCTTCGATTTAAATCCAGCACCATTCCAGAGTCACACCAGCTTAGTGCCGGATTTCTGAATAATTAACCGACTTGTGCAATTTCGGGTAAGCAATGAAGATTGATTAAATCCATTAAATTAATTTTTTTGACATTTGCTTAGAAAATTGATTACAAAATCACTTTAAAGCCCTTCAGATTCTCAATAAATATTGATTAAAAATCCACTCAGATTTACTGCCCAGATTGATAAATTTCAAAAGTCAAAAATTAACAAAATATTCACCTTAAATCCATGATTTTCTTAAAAATTCTTGCAATCCAATTTTCTGTCGTTCCTCACTTCCCCAATTCTCCATTTAAACTAAACTAAGAAAAATTTATTAAACAATATTTCATGCGAGTGCATTTACTTCTGAATTATTGTTATTAAACACTTTCAAGTGCCTCTCGATTGACACGACTCAAACTCAATTTTTCTTTGGCGTTTGCTTATCAATTCAGCACTTAAAATTCAATTAAGTAGTTGAAATCATAAATTATAAAATGTTTGAGATAAATTTGATTTTTTTTGTTAGATTGCGAGTCATGGGATTCCTTGGGCGTTCTTATGGAATGCTTATTGAGTGACTTATCTGTTGCCTCATCTTAAGGTTTACTATTAAATCATGAACCCTTTTCAGTTTGATCAAGAATCTCAATTGCTCCACGACCTTAATTGCTAATATTTGAAGCTATAATTCGATATTTATGAGCATCTCATGATTAAAATCTGTCCAATAATGTTTAATTAATTTCTTCGTTCAATTAATATATCTTATCAATCGTTTCGTCACGCAGTTTATAGATGTGGAGACTCCAAAGTTTGTGTTTTTTGTTTTTTTTTTTGGTACAAATTAAGGCGTAGTAATTTTTGGGATAGTAAAGATGTTAAATTGTTTGGATGAAGAGGGCTCTTTGGTGTCAACTGTGGGTCAAGCAGACACATAGCTGCTGGATGTACAATATGATGTAATTCATGATTGCCTTCATAGTTCTATATATCATAATCAAGGCTTCATAAGGTCAATAATACTCAAAGAATCCACTTCTACATGAAAGGCATTATTGCCTTTAAAAGATCTCAATCAGAGCATTGTTAAAAGTCTAAGGCAGTGTTTCTAAAACTTTTTTGGTCCACGGCACATTTTTTTACATACATGAGTGCCTAAAAAGCTCAATTAGCAAAGTACAAGTCACAAAAGTTGGTATTGAATTTGGACTCCCGGGTTCGAGTTTTACCATCAGCCTAGTGATTTTTAAGAAGTTTCGATACCTCGGCTTTTTAGGTGCAGCAGTTTAAGGCGTTAAACTAAGAATTAAGCGATGTGAGATGTAGGAACCAAGAGTGTGGAACTGAAGAATTACATTTTGATAATTTTTTGATCATTTTTTGATCATTTTTGATCATTTCTCATTTCATCAGTGCAACACCCGTGGTAGGAACGGGTCAAAAATTAAGTTGACAGGATGAGAAAGATACAAGAGCCGTAAAATTCACCATAAAGGACTTTTACTGGAACGGACCTGGATACATTGTGACCTACTGAAAATTGAAACGAGAGCCAACATGAACACTTGTTCTAAGATATAAAACAGTTTTTAATTGGCTGCTGGACACACAACTGCTTAATGAAGATTATACACTGAACTAGCGTTCCTAATATAGATTTAAGAATTAAATTGCAGTGCTTAAAGGTTTAGTAACACTGTTGCACAATTTGTAAGATTTACATCCAGCACCATTTCAGAGTCACACCAGCTTAGTTCCGGTTTCTGGTCGATATTTCAGAAAATCACATAAAACACAGGAAGCAACTCAAAACAGTACAAAACATTTCAGCAACAGGTAAAAATTGCAAAAACATTCATTCGCAACGCTCAATAAAAACAACAAAATTCTCAACCTTTACGTATTTAATAAATCACTAAGGTTCTCACCCTCTTTCAGTAACAAACAAAAATTCACACAGTCAGCACTCCCTCGTATTAAATGTTTGTAAACATTGCAAAAATTCTAAAATAAATCTTCAAAAACTGATCAGCAACTAGTCCATAACTGGACTTTATTACTAAAATTAGTCAAAAATGTCTTCGTGCATTCTATGCCTTAGTCAACTTCGAAAGGGTTATTCAGTAAAATTGACAGAATCAGAACCTTAGTTTCGTCTTAAGCTGCTCATGAGCATTTGCTACTTTTGTGATTTGTGCCTCAATCTTGTTCCATTTGATGAAGAAATCGCTGACTGTCATGTGTTGTTTTTGGAAGTTCTTTATAGCAAAGTAAACTGGAACTGACACTTGAACGAATTCATTCCTGACATCTTTGCTGAGCTTGATCCTCTCCTCGTTGATTGAGACATCTTCAAGTTGACTTTTGAATCTACGGGCATCGTTCATCATCTTGAGCAGGTCGGTTTCGTCTCATCGATTTGATGTCATTAAGGATTTCAAGACAGTAATCGATGAAATTAAATAGCACAAGCATGACTATACCTTTTGGATTCAAATATTCATAACTGTTAAAATTAAAAACTAAGTTTAAGATTTCTTTTTACAAATTATTTTTATTTCTTCGTCAAACTTAATTTTAGAAAATCTAATTTTTATTCTTTTTTACATTTTTCTCTCTTGATGTGAGCGTCCATAGTCGTTTTACTTTTGAAGACCTTTCCACACAAGGCGCACGGATGCTGTTCTTGATTTTGTTGATGAACATTCTTCATGTGTGAAATCAAGGATTTCTTGTTGCTGAGATGTTTTGAGCATATTTCACATTTTTCTGGATTTTTCATTGATGCAACTTTTTGTCCATCTTTTTCATGTGTCTTTTGGTGCTTTTTTAAGCTTGAACTGATGTAGAAAGCCCAAGGACATTTGTCACATTTAAAGTTCTTTTCCTTTTCCACGTGACTTTGTCGATGACTTTCCAAATGTCCTTTCCATCTAAACTCTTTGCCACACACGTCGCAGACACAACTTTCGACAGGTCGTTCGTGGACTGTCTTTATGTGAATCTTCAACTTTGCTGGAACTGCAAATGCTTTCTTACAGATTCCACATTCATGCTCTCTTTTGTGTCCTTTCTTGTGAATTTTAAGCGCTCGACTTGTCTTGACGCAGAGGTTGCAAATGTCACATTGAAATATGTTGTCTGTATGCACTTCCTGCACATGCCTATTCAAGTATCTTTGCTGCACTTCAATGTGACAAATCTCACATCTGACTTTCTCTAAATTTGATGTTTTGTGTAGCTGCATGTGTCCGTGGATTTCCATTCTGGTTTTAAAGACTTTGCCGTCATAGTCACAGGTGAACTGCTCAGGTGCAAGTGCTGTGACCTCATTTGGATGGATTACCGACATATGAATCCTTAAACTTCCTCTTTTGCTGAATTTCTCTTCACAAAAGTTGCAACTGAATTCAAGACCAACTGCTTCTGGATGGAGGTTTTTCATATGCTTATTCATGTTCTTTTTGGTTAGTTCTTTGCCGCAAACTTGACATTTGACTCTGCTTAAAGTTATTATTTTCCTTGGTGGCTTTTTAGAACTGCTGTCAGTTGAGTCTGATTGATGCGCTGAACTGTTGGAAGCTTTAGGTTCTGAATGGCTTGATGCTGGACTGTGGGTTGCTTGCGGTTCTGAATGACTGGATGCTGAATCATTGTCAGATTCATATTTGACGATTGTTGACTCTTCCTTCTTAATGTCCTCTAATTTAACCCAGTTTTCTTGGATCTCGAGTGGATTTCGCTCGGTGTCGATTGGATTTACTTCGATTTTGATTTCAAAGTCGTATTTTGGTCGACGAGGCATTTTTGTTTTTTTTTTATTTAATGTTTGAAGTTGATTAAGCTTTTGATTTTTAAGTTTTGGTTATTTCGAACTTTTGTTTCTTTTGTGCTGATGTTGCTTGGTTGAACTGTGTTTACAGAATGATTAATTAACACAAATTGCTGAGATTATATACAGAACTCTTTGCACCTAAGTTTCACAACTTTTGCAGGTCCTTGTTTTCAGGCATTTTCAAAACAAAACAAGATTTGTGAGATTTTAGAGATTTTGCAACTTTTTGAATTCTAAAGAATTTTTATTCTAGATTCACTTAATCTTTTTCACCAAAAAGCAAGCGATTCCGGTGTTTATGACTGCTTCAATCCATCACAGGAATCCAAAAAACTTCAAAGTTATGTGTTATAAAATTCCTTTTGTTTATTGTTTACGTTTTTGATAGATTTTATTCATCATTCATGATTTACTTGGATTGAACTAGCTGATTTGAGATTAGATTTAAGTTAAATCCAAAGAGTTCAATACTTAGAACCTTGAATCGTTAAGTTTTGATGTCAAATAGCAGGATTATAGCCATAAGATGCAAATCATCCACCCCAAACCTGTCCAAAGTTTGGTATTGAGCCTTTTGAGCTAAAGTCACTGCGATTCAAATTTATTACACTCTTTAGACTTACAGTTTATAGTGGAATCTCGTCCACTTGCAAGCTCAGCACATTGCAAAGACACGTGGACGTTCAAAGACCCTGCAATGTCTTTCGTGTGTGCAACATGCTGTAATGAAATCATCCAGATGCTAATATATATCCTAGAATAGCTAGCAAAGGAGACACTTTATGTGCCGAAGACCCCAAATCTACACAAAACTGACAAACTGAGCTTCGTAACTAGAACAGTGAAATGGAAAAAAGAAGCTTCTAAACCAACCTGTCCTGGGATTGAATCCAGATCCTTTGGAACATTCGGCCAACTATTTCACTACTGTGCATCAAGTCAACATTAATTGATTGTTTGTCATCGAATGTTGAATGTTTCATCGCTCTTTAAACAACATCAAGTGATCAAGTTAAGATTAAGTTGTTTTGGTTTTCAAAATTCAAAAAAATAACTCAAATGGGTCGATTAAAGGAAGAAAATAGTGAACATTCGGTGCCTAACAAGAGACCAAAGTCGACAATAACAAAAAATCTCGCAAAAATCAGAGAACTTTTGGGGTTTATTAAGCAAGAGCCAGTAGATGAACAAGAAAATCGAATAGAATGTTCTGAAAAATCTTTAAATGTTCAGTCAAAAGTCATCAAGGAACAACAGGCTAAACAAGATCTTGAGATTGTTCTTGAACCACAGTGGAAAGATTTTACCGAAACACAAAACATTCGTGAATGTCGAGTTGTTTTAAAAGACATAGATATGGATATGGACGAATTTAAGCATTTAGAAATTGAAATTTTTTCACTTTACAGCAACAGCAACAAAGATCATATCAATAAATGCATCAAGTTGCGTCCAAAAATCCATAAAAATTTAACTCCATATTTATGTGGACTTTGTGGATGTAAATTCAAAAACTTCGGTCGACTAA